CAACAATTGTTGTGCCACAGCTGCAACAACAGCAACCACAAGTGCCACATGCCGCCTGGATAGCTTATTGTCTGTGCAACTGAATTGCAGCCTACTTTGCCTTTGCCTTTGCCACATATGTGGCAAATGCAAAATTATATGGCATAGTGGTTCCCGAGTTGAAGCAGAAGAAATGTAGAAGCTGGTTAATGGTAGGGAAAATGAGAGCACAGTAGGCAAGTCCTATACTGTTCCCAAGTGGACTTCTATATAAATATTAGTAAGCTCAAAAATCAATCAATCTCCTTTAGTCTGGATAGCGTAGTATATACATATGATATCATATATACGAATAAGCTTAATGTGAAGACTGTATTATTGTTTAATTGTAACTTCTCAAACTAATCTCAATTCAATTCAGTGTTTAGAAGAATTAAGGTAATGCAAGACATACACATATATCCCGTATAAGCACAGACATATGTATATATAAACATTATCTAAGACTAGACTATGTCACAGTCCATATTTTAGCAGGAACAAGAATCAAACTTGAACTACTCTACACAGTCTGAAAAAGTGTTTTTGTTTTCTCTACTCATTTGTTTCATTTTGTCCCACTGTGCTGTCTTTGCTGCACTCTTAGATCTTAGTTTTTGCCGCTGTTGCTGTTGCTGTAGTTTTTGTTGTGGCTAGCGTTTGCGACATCATTTTGCAATGTTGCCACTGTGTAAAGCAGATAAAGATAAAGATGCAAACATATAACTATTGTTGTGGTTGTTGTTGGTTCGTTTCATGTTATTTTATTTGCCATTGATTCGTATGTAGATTGAGCTTTGTTTGTTTAACAAGTTGACAAAGTTCGCCGCCTAAGTCTTTTGTTTTAGACAGTTTATACAGCGCTTCCCGATCATCTCAATGCATGTCAAATAAAAGTCAAGGCGAAGCAGCAGAAAAAGAGGAGGAAGAGGAAGAGCAAGACAAAGAGTCAACCCATTCGCTTGTTACTTATTATGGAGGGTAGACTCTAGTTTTGACTGATGTATCTCTCTCTCTCTCTCTCTGTGTTTGCCTAGCAATTGACTCATCAGCCAGTTCGACTGGGCATATCAAAAAGTTTGCCGCAGGCAATTTGACAGAGCCTCATGAATTGATCTATAAATAACAAGAAGTAAGAGTGATTCTGTGGGGGTGAATGGCTAGAAGATACTCTGTACTCTAAATGCATATTAATGTCGATAGCCAAAACTGAGCTCTGATCATGCTCAAAGAGCAAAATCATGATATCGATATTTATCGATTGTTATGAGAAGAAATAACTTATCGGAAAAGCCATTTTTAATCTGAGCTGTGTCTAGTATACAAGCATATTCGTATCAAACGTCAAGCCTCTCGCTTTTATACTTCCTAAGATCGCTGAGCTTATACAGAGTGATATGGACAGAAATATGCCCCATTTACACCTATTTAGTATTGGTTTGCAGGGTATTATCACGTCTTGTTTAACTATCTATGTAGAGTGTTCTGTGCGTTTTGAGTGTCTGCTGCCTTAATTGTGGAAAATAAAACAATAAATAGAATTGGAAATAAATTGTGGCATCGAAGCATTTGGCCAACCATCCACAGCAACTCTCTACATAGCGCTCTATATATAGATATCGCTTGAGCTTCAGCTTGAGCTCTCTGCAAATTTATGCAATATTTGCATATATTTCTTCTTCTTTTTTGCTCGGCTCGTGAATTGATTTTATTATTTGGCGAGGTTAAGGAACTGACTTTTTATGTATGTACGTATTCACATATGGACTGCTCGCACTGCCTATCATTAAACCGCCTTCAAATGAAGATTGATGCGACTCTCCCTTGGCCAAATCCAAGTCCAACTCCAAGTTTGAACTTGATGACCAAGCCTGAATGTGTCTTTCAAGCAGAGACTCGCTGTTCCCATTCGTTGGTCTACGGTCACGACGGAAGTCGCTTTGAATACTCTAACAAAGGGCATTCATAATTTGACAATCGATGAAAAGGTCGAAAGATGAAGGCTATTGAAATATGATATTAATATTGATCTCTGATGTCATAAACTAAAATCCGTCAAAGACTTTACAATTGACAATATATATCATATATACGATAGAGGAAGTTAATAAGCCTGATGGCTCGACATCTGTTTACTCTATAATATTTTCCGTTTACTCAAAGACCAGCAAAAGATAATTTAGCTAAACGATCTGACCAAATGCAAATTCTTTTCAAAATTTGATATTGAAATCCCATAATATCGATTTCAATAGATCTATAGCTCCATAGCCTCGATCCTCTTCACATCTGCTTACTACTGAAGAATACTAATTCTGCCATAGTGCCTTCTCGATCCACAGCTAATATGAGTTACATTCCCTTCATTTAGATGAAGCCCGCCTCAGCAAACCGTAGAGGGTATTTGAACCTTAGCGCTATCAAGATCAAATTTCTTTTGCTGTTCAGCATTTGCTGTAACTTTGAGTTGTCAACACTCCACAGAGAACTAGAGACAAAAAGCAAAAGCACAAAAACTCGACTCTCGACTGTGTTGGCCGTGGCACAAATGTGCATCGGCGATGCCACCGTCATATGGTAAGCAAGTGATGATTAATTCGCAGTTCGCAGTTCGCAATTCTCCATTCGCAGTTATTGCTGTCATTAAGTGTGTTTGGCTCCAGCTGACACAGAAAGCGCAATCGATGCGAGGCATTAGACACAAAAAAGTCACAAAGCAATCGCCATTTGTAGGCCAAAGTATACCGATGAAGGGCAACAACAGAATCGAGTTGAGTTGAGAAAGTTCTTCAATTGCCAAAGCTATATGTCCGATGTATGATTAGACATACTTATATAAACGATATGCACACAAATTAATGAAGCATCTCAAATGTCAATTGCATCAATTAAATCGAGCATTAATTTAGGAAATCAATTCCAGAGTCTGCTTTTCTTGTCTTCTGTATTCTCTCGTATGCTTCATCTCATTTCTGAACTATCCACTCTCATGTTTAGTTCTTTTTTTTTCTAACTCCTCTTTGCTCCTCCACTTTTACTCTCTACTCTCCTCTGCCCTTCCTTTCTTCTTCTTTCATCTCCTTACCTTTTAATCATCTGCTCTTGTTCTGATTTTCTCCCATTATCTTCCTCTCTCTCTTTTCTATTTTTCTTCACTGATCTTTTCATCTCTCTTCTCCTCTTCTCGGCTCTCTCCTCTGCGCTATTCATTCTTTCTCCTCTTCTCCCTTTCCTACTTTTCCTTTCTCTATCAACTTTTCTTTCTAACTTCCCCTCTTTCCCCTCTTCTTTTCTCTTCTACGTTTCCCTGTTCTTCACTTCTCTTCAGCTTTCCATCCTCGCCCTTATCTACTCCACCCTGATCTTCTCTCTTCCGTATTTTCTCCTTTTTGTCTTCGTAATTGAAGACTATCGCATAACACTTCAGCATGCAATAGAATCGTGTAGTTGAGACTTTTCCCACTTTGCTCTTTGACTGGCAAACAAATTTGTTAACTCGCTGATTACCACACGACTCCTTTGCAGAGACCCCAACTCCTTCTCCTCCTCCTCTGTCTCCTGCTCTGGCACTTAACTCACCTGCCGCTGCTGCTGATAAATGATGAAGCTGTCAGCGCGGCTGTCTGCATTACGTAGCACCCACTTCACATACACGTACACACCTACATGGCATGTGCATGTGTGCAAATCTAACTGTCTATCATATGAGAGGCCAAACGGCCCATCAGTCCAGGCAGATGCTGAAGCAGAGGCAGGGGCAGGGGCTGGCGCAGGTATGGACAGGGCGACTTTTACATAAATCGCCAGCACTCGTGTCTAGTGAATTTTCAATTTTCAATTTTGCATTTTGCATTTTCCATTTTGAAAATGTTCAAAAATGTTCAATTTTCATGCCGGAATATTATGCCAGCTCACCGTGGGTCAGTCGCATCCACTGCAGTCGCTTATTAACCGAACAATTTGCAAGCCTGGCCATAAATCTCAACGTGGCAGCGCATTATGCAATACGAAACGGGGGGAGGAGCGATGGCAGGCGGGGCGAGCGTAGACAAACCTTTATTGAGGGCAAGTGCTAATTAATGCAACAGCACGCAGCATGCAGCATGCTGCCACTGCCACTGCAACTGCTTATCAGGCAAAATATTCGATTTGGCTGCACATTTGAATAGCATTGCAAATGCTTCGGTTTAGAAGGAGCGGGCCGAGTGAGCTGTGTGCCCAGCCGGGCTGGGGTCAACAATGCTCGAGTGTGGCCCAAAATGTAGCCACGATATCTCTTGATTATTGGGCCAATTTGCATGCATCGCTGCCAAACAGAATGTGCGAGGCTTTGAAGCACGAAATTTGAATGCAACTCATAATTGAAAAGACGATGTGGCAGCTCAGCTTAAAGAGAAACGATTCAAGCATCTGAAATATTTGCTATAAGCTGATAAGAGTGCATGCCTTAACACAAAATCAGTAATCTACATTCCAATTGGAATTGTCAATTAGCAGTGCTTTTAGCGTAAAATAATAGGAATTCCTAAAATAAGCAATCTAGCCTTCAATGTGTACCAATCATCAATCGTAAATAGTTAATAAATAGTCACGAAACAGCAGTCATCTATCAAGCAAATATCCCTTTGTAATATATATTGCTAAAATTAGCATCAATCATCAGTCATATATAGTCAATCATAGCCTAATATCAATCATAATTATTATAGTCAATCATAAATAAATAATCATAAAAAGTAAAAACCCAATCAATCAATTTATAGTCAATCATTCCTTTATAAGCATCAACCATCACTCAATCATGGCCAATCATAGCTCATAAATAGCCTCTACACAAACATCAATGATAAGTTTTAAATTGTCAATCATAATTAGTCTCTAAGAACCATCAATCCCAAATGATCAATCAGATGTATGCCCAATCAATCATAACTAGTCTGATTAAAGTAAATTTCATTCTTTCTTTCATTCTTCCCTTGCAGTTTTTGCTGTTCGCGCTACAACTCTAGCTGAATGCGTTTGCGTGGGCGGTGACCATGCCCATTTGCAAAAGTACGCCAGCGATGGCAACGAGCAAGAAGACGGCCTCGGATATATCCTCGGATCACGTGACGGAGGCGGCGCAGGTGAAGCGGATTAGGGAACAGGCTTACTTCAATTCGTACGACTTTGATGCAATCGAAGTGCTGCCCTACGACGAGGACAACGACGAGGAGGAGGAGGAGGAGGAGGAAGAGGAGGAGGAAGATGAAGATAGCAACAGGCACGCCCCCATCAAATACGCCTACTTGCAGAGATTGGGCGCATTCTTCAACCAGAAATCGATGGCAGACAAAACGAACGCAGCAACGACAGCAGCAACTGTTGCTGCTGCAACGACAACAACTGGCAAAGAGATAGCAACCATTGCTGGTGCATCGACAACCGCTGCGCCTGCAACAAATGAAAACTTTTTACTGCCGCGCGCCATGCTGAAGTATTCATATCACAGGTGAGTGTGGCAACTGCGACCTTCACGCGCGCACGCGCCCTTGAACAGGGCGCAGCAGCAACGCACAGCAACCAGAAACTCGTCGAGTGCCCTGCGCAACAGCAAATTTAATTATGAGCAGCCACACTTGAGAGATTCCCCAAAAAGCATTTCAATTATATTATGTTGCGGCAATTAGCGTGGAATTAAGCCAAATCGAATCAGCTCACTTCATAAAAGAAACTTAGCTCAGACTGGCTTTGGCCATTGCGCATACGCCGCGTAGTGCGACCCTCTTAATGTCGGCAACGCACTCACCTGGTGTCTAAAGTGGGTATATTGGTTTCGTTGGTGTGCAATGTTTGTCTTCATGATATCTAATGGCAATCTCTTGCTGAGGGCTCAGGGCTCAGGGCTCTAGGCATCTAATTGCTTACTGGGTGTTTCAAGTGGGTATATTGACTTGGTGTGGCTGTTCGTCTCTCTATAGGTATCTATAGATACTAAAGGTATGTGGTGCTTAGATTTGAAATTGATTTTTGCATATATTTAACTAGTTTTGTGGCTTAAATATGCATTAAGCAGTGGGTAAGAAATTAATGAATGTGAATAAGTATTTAAAGCAGTTGCAAGAGAAAGTTAGAAAAAGGAGAGAAAATAAAAGGATCTATATATATATATCTAGAGAGAGAGAGAGAGGGAGGCTGACACAGAAAAAGAGATCAAGAGTGTGAATGAGATAGCGCATGACTTGCTGCAGCTGCTGTCAAGTTGAGTTTGCCATATCTTAGCAATTGCAGCTATGTAAATTTATAGCAAGGCGACGCGACGCGATGAGATGCGATGCGATGCGCCGCGCTGCTATGCGAAGTTCAAGTTGCACGTTGCACGCGGCACGCTGCGCGTTGCAAGTTGTCTGCTGTCTGCTGTCTGTTGTCTGTTGCAATGCGGTTTTTGGCGCCTGTCGTCAGCCTTCACCTCTTTACGGCAGCAGCAGCAGCAGCAGCAGAAGCCACTTGACTTGCCAAACACTTGACAACACGTCGGTCAACAGCAGCAACAGCAACAACAACAACATTGACTGCAGCTGCAACAATTACGTTTATTAATTGAAATTAAAGAAGCCACATATGAAGCAGCCTCCACTGTAGCCAGCAGCRGCAGCAGCCTCTGAAGCTCTGGAGGTCACAGCCAGTTTTGGTTTGAAATATTTGTATAAGCACATATAACTATATAGCTGATCGTGCATATGCACACAAATATGCGAGGGCAGACTGAAGAGTTACTTCAGTTAGTTCGAGTTGGCAGACACAAGCAGAAAACAAAACAAAATTGAAATGCATTGTATAGAAACTCTTCAGGCTACCCTCGCATCTGCCCAGATATACATAAATATATCTATATACATCTATACGTCTGTCTATTATTTACATCTCTGCCATCAAGTCGTGCAATTTATTGTACATAGTTTCTTCTTCTCTCCATATATAAATCTTGATTACAGATGTCTAACTATAGGAGTCAAGATCAAAGACAATGCCAATTGAAAAATCTAATTAGGAATCAATTTTTTTCATTGAGCTGTGAATTCTAGTTATGGTCAATGGCACTTCTATGTAAGAATATCCATCGCAAATTCCTTGCTAATATACTCGCTTCTTAAGTTAGCAAACGAGTATCAGAAGCGTAAGCAAAATATGTTTGAAATTCCACTTTACGAGTTTTTTAGAGCTCAAAGGCCATGAGGCTCATGGCTCCCATTTGATTTCGCATTCAGCAAATCCTTTCGAAATCAAGGTTAATCCAATAATGCCACATATATAAACTTGACACTATATATATATTTATATAAGAGTACGTTTTTGCCCTTTCCCATTATCTGCGGTGCATGCTAAGCAGCAAACGGAGAGGGTTTATAGCAGCTGTACTGCACACTAAATATATGCGATATATGCGCATTTACGATATAACATTGATATATCGTATACCTAAGACATCTACAAGTCAAAAGGTATGGCAATCACATCCAATAGAATTGATTTGAAAGTTAATCCAATCTGATCCATCGTATTAGCTATATCGTATTGCATAACTGACCTGGGTCATATGTACGATATTCGCCATATATCGTATACGTAATAAATGTTTCCGATTACTTCTACTAGATCATAGATTCGTATTAAGTTGCAATTTCACCTCTACATTATATGAGATAATCATGCATTATATCGTATATATACGATATGTGTACTTCCCATTAAAGTGTCGATTGCATCAATTTAATCGAGGCTCGATATCAAATACTTGATTTGTATGCAATAGATTTGTCGAGCTTTTAGCTATGTGCCAGGGTCAATGCCTCATTTAGGCAAACTTTATATACAATATATTCAAATAAACAGCTATTAGCTTGATTGATTTATTAAATACACGTAGTTAATATATAAATATATATATATAGTTACTAGTTAGATCGAAGGACGGTTTGCTGCGAACTGAGCCACAAAGCTGTGTAATTTGTTTTGGCAGCCAAGTCAACAATAATTAGCAGGCACACACACAGAGACACACATACCTATGCAAACAGAGAGACACCTGAATAGACCAACGTATGGGTAGCTATCTGTAGTAGCCCAGGTAACAGCCCCGTGTTCCGACATGCAAACGAGGCTGAACATTTTAATTAACACGGCTCACAAATAAATACGCAAATATTGCAAAATATTTTTCATGCGATGGAACGTTAACCTTGTCCATTGCATATCAAGCCCAAAAAAAAGAAAACCAAAAAATAAATTACAAAAAAATAAAACTTGCCCCTGCACTAGTCCACTCTAAACGCATCGATAAACAAGCTAGTCTCAATAACCAAAGCTCGAGTTTCCCAAAAATAAAAATAAAAAGCCAAGCCTCGGCCCAAGTCCAAGTCCGCTGCGAATCGATACGCCAAGATCCAGTTGCTATATATACATATAAGAACGGCGACACGAAGACCGTTATTACGCAATTTCCCAGCAATTTTCCAGCTTCAACTTGTATGCTCAGGCTGTGGCCATTGAATATGGCTGATCGAAGTATATTGGCATTATTTTGTCAGCTGAGATCCATAGAATATACACATATTCATTATTAGAATTGATTACGGGGGCGTGGGGCTGCAATAATATAAGTTTATTTCTGATAAAATATAAAAGAGTGGAAAGCTGCATGGCTCAGCCTGTATATCGATGTCTGTTTGTATAAGAGTAAGTAATAAGAGTAATAGTGAGAACCCTACGAGTATAAGATTATATACATAGTACAAATATTAGGATGAAAATAGGACAAACTGTATAATAGTAAAGCATTGCCCAGTATGTATGTAAATAAAGAGTATGAGATGAAGATTATGAGATCATATAACCCTAGATAATGCGGATATATATGGAATTAAAGAAAATAAATGTATAAGACCAACAGCCCAGCATACCTCGCCACTTTGTTCGACTGTATAAGAGTTGCTAGTATGTATAAGAGAACGAGGGTATACAAGTAATCAACTCTTCATTCTTTAACACACATGCAGCTTTGAGCAGTACTATTTCTCGACATTATTGCTCATCGCTAGCAGGTAGATAACTGCTGGTCTGGCATACCCAATTAAAGCACTCTTACCTGTTCAACTGCTGCTGCTGCTGCTGCTGTTGACCCACTGCCCAGAGTAAAAGACTCTAAATCGATTCCGAAATAACACAGCAGCTGCTGCTTGGCCTATGGGCAAATGGCCGCCTCATGAGACCCAATGAGAGAGGATGCAAATTCGAATTATGGGCCTAAATTTTAGTGCTTAGTGCACTTAGCCAGACAGCCAATTAACTAAGATACGGCTGAAGAGACGGTGCCAGATTAGACTAAAGGTGATTCATGAAAGTAATGAAGAATATTTTATATATAATTTATAGTATATATAGTATATAGATAGACTCCTTCTCTTTCGTTCGAATCATGGACTAGCACTAGCATATCTTTGTAGTTCATAGTTAAATTCGGGCTGCTGGTTATTTGACTCCTCTGTCAAGGCTCAGCCATAAGATCATATCATACAAACTATTCATAGCTCAGTTTTGTTGCCTTTACTAGATCTAGAATTTAGAAAACGAAATTTGTTTTCCTTCTAAAAGAAACTCTTAACAAACTCTTGAAAACAAAAAAATAATAATAATAATAAAAAAAGCAATTGCAACAGTTATTCAAGCTGAAATCCTGTTTAGAACGAGTTTCTTTTCATTCCGAATTGAATTTTGATGTTGAGTTTCAAATGTTGTTTGCCAAATACTGTTTGTCTCTCTCTCTCTCTCTCCCTCCCTCTGTATGTGTGTGTGTGTTTGTCAGACAGCACTTAAAAATGCGTTAAAATGCAAACAATTTATGCTCTCTGAGGTCTTATGGTCTAGTCAACGAGTGAGAATTCCAGACGCATTCAAATAAGTTGGAAGCTTTTATTGATTTGACGACAGCTGCGGCCTCTGTGCCCCATACAAAAATCCCATAAAAGAGGAGCGTGCCACAACGAGAGCGAAAAGAAAACTACTAACCCACATACACACACACACGCACACATACATACATGGTCGCACTCATGCCACTCGTGGCACAGTGGGTCGGTTGGCCATTTGGCCGGTTAAACCACTTTCATTGCGCCGAGAGTTTCCCTTTCAGCTGTGCTTTATTTTTATTTGAATACCCATTAAATGCTAGCAGCGAGGGTATAATCGTTTGTATGCAAATTTATGTAACAAGACAGGAAGGAGTCGACCTCCTTCGTCAGTTCCTCAATACATTGTTGAGCAAGTGAATCAAATTCGCTTCGTCTATATAAGAGTCTCATCGAGTGTTTTAAGAGTCCATACCGCACTGTCTATCTGTATGAGACTATAAAGGAAAATGAGTACACAAGTTGAGTAGAAGTGTAGGAGTACAAGAGAAGACTATAATACCTTCAGCATGAGTATAAGACTTATAGTAACTACAAAATTTAATCAAAGTTGCTCGTATTTACTAAGCAGAGCATCTCTTAGTCGTGCATACCCGATTGGAGTGATTTAATCTAGCTAATACTTGCATTTTTCCCAACTTTGTTCAATAATTTTGCTCACTTGTATTTTCGTCTTTCTCTCTCTTTCTCTCTCTTTCTATGTAGCAGCAATGCGACAACTTCAATGCCATTGACAGCATCGCTCGATGCTCGAGAAACAGCCGGGACATCTCTGAGCCGCTCGAGCGATATAAAGCCAAGTGTGGCAGCATCAGCGATACGGAGCAAGAAACGATCCACAGCATCCAATGCCAGCAGCACACAGACCACAGACTCCGGACTGGGCAACAGCACAGCGCCAGCACCAGCAACAGCCACAGCAGCAGCAGCAGCACCAGCCCCAACAGCAGCAACTGGCGCAGCAACTGCTCGGGCAACTGCCTCACATTATTCGACAGATAAAAGCGGCTCGTCTGGTTATTATAGCTCGCACGTATGCTCCACTTACTCGCTGGACGAGCATATCTATTGCGAACCGGTCATAGATATCCTAGAAGCGAGCGAGCCAGAGAAGAGCGGCAAGTCAATCGCAGCCAAGCAGCGGCCCCAGCTGCAGCTGCCGGGCAATGAGAAGGCGATTAGTCAGCATTTGGCTATGCAAGATGCGGCAGCTGAGCAGGTGCTGGCCACGACACCTGAGCTGGCTCACAATGGACAGCAGCAGCAGCAACAACAGCAGCAGCAGCAGCAGCAACAGTTGCCGCTCTACAGCGACAAGCTGCGAATTCTGGAGACGAGCATTGAGAACTTGGATAGACACTTGAAGAGCTTTCCCGCTCTGTCCTACATGCAGCAGGACAAAACGGCAGCAGCAGCAACAGTTGCCCCCACCCTGGATATTGGGGAGAAGCTGCGCGTCTACAATCAGCTGCCCACGATTAGGGAGGGCTATGCGACACAGAAACACCAGCAGCATCAGCACCAGGAGCAGGATCAAGTGGACGATTCCCTGATGGACATCGATTTAGATGCATTTCTGCTGCAGCCCAAGCAGCAGCAACATCCCAGACAGCAGCAACAGTCGCTGTCAGGCATTGACAATCCAAGTTTTCAGCATGACTTGCAACAGCAGCAGCAGCAGCAACAGCATCCCAGACAGCAGCAACAATTGCTGTCAGGCATCGATAATCCAGGCTTTCTCAATGATTCGCAGCAGCAGGAAAAGCAGCCACAACGATTGCAGTTAAGCCAACAGCAATTGCTGTCAGGTCTTGACAACCTCAACGATTTGCAGCTCGAAGAAAATAATTACAAATGTGCCAAATATATAAATTCCTGTCCGGAGAATGCCTATCGAGTGGAGCACTCGAACTCGACGAACTCATCGTCGGCCTATGCCAAGCGCTACGAGGATCAGCTGCACTTCCAGAGCACCCGGGAGCTGCTCGAGGATGTGCGGGACAAGATACGCCACCTGACGCCGACACCCACCACGCACATACCTCAGGAGCTGGAGGGCATGATAGAGACGCTGAAGAACGAGCTCGAGTCCTATTTGCAGCGCATGAACCAGCACAGCGAACTGGAGCTGCGCCAGCTGTGCAGCGGCTTGGGGCGGCAGCAGCATGTGGTGCGGCTACAGAATGCACTCGAGCGGAGGCGCAGCTATGCCGGAGACTCACAGCTGAATCCCTACGAATCGGTGAGAGACGGTGTCCTCATCTCGGCGAGGGAACAGATTATGACCATTCGCTGTGCCAGTGATCCGAACTTCAAAATGAAACGCAAGTCCATCACTGAGATCTTTCCGCTGGCTGAGTGCTATGTCGAGTCGACGGCCACGCCCACACCCACACCTACGCCCACGCCGACAACGACGCCCACTTTGACGCCGTCGCCCACCCCCGTGGAGCTAAAGACGACAACAACCACGACAATGATCACCCAGATGCAACGTAACCTCACCTTCCATGCGAATCAGTCGAGGTCGCGGCTGGGCAACAGCATGGACAAGCTGGACGACAGCACTGCGGAGTGGCACCGCAAGAAGCCGAGCATCTGGGAGATGTACTACGGCACGAATCGCATGCACCAATCGCTGTTGGGCAAGCAGCGGCATAGCGCAGTCGGCGGCGGGGGCGGAGCAGGAGGCAGCGCTGAGCTGGTCATCAGCAGTGCACATCCAACATTGTCCTACGTAAGTAATGCACAGCTGATCAAACTGATCATGAATATTCCATTAAAAGAAATGTATGCTATAAGGGAAAGTGTTTAGTCTTATCCTCTTCGCCATGCTCCCTTTCATCCCTTCTCTTATATGTATATAATTCTGATCATAGTTTAAAGGTATCTTCAAGTCGGATACTCCTCGCGAATGAACTCTTATTACTCATTTGTCCCTGGCTTGTTGCCTTAAGACTTGTGGCAAATGCAACCACTTGATGCAACTGCCCAGATATCCATGCGACTCCATATATTTCTATATATATTCAATTATACACGATATCGCATCTGAATCTGAACAGTAGCCTCCTACATGCGGCACACGCACATCATTAATCATTAATCATGATGCCAGTGCACGAGCCAAATCGAACGTTGGCCATGACAGCGATAATATCGCCTGTATCGCATAATAAACGTCAATGAATTCAACAGCAATAATAATAATAGTAATAATAATGATCATAATAATGACGTCAATGCCGTCGACGTCCGGTGTTGGCATCCGCTGCTGCTACTGTTGCGGCTTCTGCAGCACCAGCAGCTGTTGCATCTACTCATTGGCGGTCACATTGCGGCCAAGGATGAAATTAATAAAAGTTTGCACGAACAGTTTGTAGCCAACGGCTTTAACTTGGCCAATCGATGCACTTTTAGCCAATTTAATGAGCGATGCACTCGCAACAGCCAACAGCCAACAGCCAAAGGCCAACACCAACAACAATTCCCGCCCTCAGCCAAAACTGTCTAACGCCAACATTAAATTGCCAGAAATACGCTACAAAAACAAGTCAAAAGCTCTAGGCGAGACTGCTCGACTAAGAGTTACCATGTATGATGTTTCACTGTATAGAACATATAAGAATTATAAATATTAATATAAATAGAACATATAAGAATATACATAGGCTATACATGAGCATACATAAATATTCTTGAGCAGCGATAAATCGATGTAGCTATGCGTGATTGCTCGCGGTGCTGTCTGTATATCAGTCTCTGTCTCACTATGTCTGTCTCACAATCTGGCACTCCGTCTGTCTCTCTGTCTCTCTGCCCAAGACAAGCAAGGAACGAATAGGAACTACAGAAGGTCATTGAAGTTCTCTCTATGTATGCAGCAGCATTGATTTGGTATGCCTATTTGAGTAATACGAAGCTAGAATGCTCGTAGAAAGCAGAGAGTGCAGAGAGTGCTCCCATTGGTCGGTTACAGTTCGACTGCAACGATCCCTACCTGGCGTCGGGCTCAATATTTGAGCGCGTCATAGGCTTTGAGTGAAAGTCGCCCTATATAAAGGGCTGCAGCTACAGCATTTCTTCAGTCTTCCAGGCCTGGTGGGGTCAGTCAGTCGTTCAGTGCAGTGCAGTAAAGTGAAGTGAATTGAATTCTGTGACCGTACAGCTACAGACTTAAGAGAAAAACTTAGAAGAAAATCTTAGTGGAAATTCTTAGATAAATATATTAATAATCGGAGCTCAAGGTAAAATTTGTTATATATCTATATATATTAGAAAGAGCAGCAGCAGGAATGGAAGAGCGGTACGCATTGTCGAGTCTATCTAGCCGTGTCTTTATGATGGATTACTCTGCCTCTAAATCTATTGATTTCATAGTTGTCTCTTTGTCAAATCGCCAATCGAGCGTAGCAAGCTTATAATGACTATATAATCTCAAACATATTCAAAATCTAAAATCCCTAGGCACGCGATATACCCCGTTTTGAGATTGCTGAGCGAGTATTACTATAATAATGAACAGTTAACAATTTAAGCTTTTTGGCACACTTGACCTCCTCGATTTGGGTTTACAGTCTTTTTTCACATTAAGTGGCAATTAGCCAAAAGACATTAATCATACGCAATGTTGGCCAAACTAAAAAATAGCTGACGCCCAGCCGTGCACAATAGAGGCAATGCAAAGTCAATTGCAACTGGCCATCGGCTAGAGTTACAAGTGTGACCCATATGAAGTAATATGCAGCGGGGATACACTGTAAACAATTTGAGAGTAGTTAGGAGCAGAGATGGAATAGGCTTATGAATGGATATGTGTGGATATAATATTAAGTAATTAAGTAATGATTAAGTAATGTGTTAAAATAAGCAATGTATTAAAGCTGTGCATACTCTGTGAACAAGTCTTGACTACATTTTATTGTAATTAAGTAAAAATGCATAGAGGAGTTCTGGAATATCTATATTTATCTGCCAAAAATTCACCTGATACTCTAGATGAATTTCTATATTAAGGGTCTAGCCTAACTATCACTAATACATGTAATTTCTATTCTTACACTGACAAAAATGGGTGTTTAATAATCAATTGACTTCCAGAAAAAATACTTCCTTAAAAGTAGACTATGTATGAGTTGTCCCGTTTGTTGATTTCCGCTTGGAAACTTCCACTCGATCTGCACTGTTGCCTCCATATGTTGCGTCTCTCTCTGTGTACCTATCTCTCTCTCTCGCTCTCACTCTGTATTTCCCTCTCTGCGTCGCTTACGTCAATATTTGATGAGTGCTTCGCACATAGAACTGATTCTTTATACAAATATTGCAATCGAGGCCCATTTGGCAGCTAAAAATCAGTTTTTGGCCTTTGCCTTACTTTGTGGCGATTATTATGCAATATCCGCTGTACTAATGAAGCGAATTTTTGGTTTGGGGGGCCTTGTTTGGACGGTCTCTCTGGGCCAATGCATGGAGAATCTCAATGAGTTTTCACTTTCAATGCCAATAATAATAATAATAATTATTATTATTATTACTATTATTGTTTTTCGTTGACTCAGCTTGGCAACAGAAATTGGTAAGCGCACGACTGTGGTTTATTCACCTTAAATGACAGCCGTATATATACATATATATACCTCTGTGGGTATCTCTACCTATTTACTAGTCGATGTGCACGTTCACGAAGCGGGATTTGAACTTGAGGTTTTTTGTGGTGCTGCTGCAGCTGTAACTGGGCTTTAATGCATGTCAAACAGTTAGTGCAAAAGGCAAAGTCAACAATATAACAACGGATTTACATGGCTAAGAGATACCCTGCAGAAGCTATTATCTTCGCTTTTTGACTCTTTATGGGTGATTCTTGTTATACTTTTGAATGATGAACGATGAGCAATGAATGATGAAGAGAAGGGGAGAGGCTAATGATAATATTGAATGATAAATGATAATATTGACTCATGAATAATTGATGACAAATAATCTATGATGGATAACATATTATATATGCTAAGCAATGAATGAGGAATAGCAATATGAACTGTAGGCTTTATTTCGCATAGCTAATATAATCACAGTACTCCACTCTAAGCACAGTTGCTATGGCAACGCATGAAGAAACGGTACTGGTTAACCTTAAAATTCCGTTAAGAAAAAAAGGCCTGCAGCATCTCGACGAACAGGTAGCTCTGCTACCAGCTTATCTGGCTGACCAACTGACCGCCATTGATTTCGGAGCCCAGATAAAGTAACTACAGCAGCAGCAACGGCCACAACAACAACAGCAACATGCAACAAGTGGCAACTAAAATAAGAAACCGGTGCAGCAAGCCGCATTTTTGCGTTGCCCTACAAAACGAATGACCTTTAAGGACGTTTCCACCACAGACAAGAAGGATGCTGAGCAAACAAACGGACAAACAGACAGGCTGACTATAATAAGTAGTTAAGGCTATCTTCAGCTGCCCCCCGACCCACGCCCCCTCTGCCAGACAACTCTGCTTGGCTACCCTCGCTGGCTGAAAACTCGTCGCACCGCTTGGCCGGCAAATAACTCGTTTGCTGTGTCATGAATGCCAAAATGAAAATGAAAACGAAAACGAAAACGCAAACAGAAATCGAAACAGCTAAAGCAAAAGCAACAGCGAAGACAAAGTTGCTGTTAGCTGCAGTTTTTTTTGTTTACTACTCTTTAACAGTCGCTGCCACAAAGTGTTGCAATAGTCGCTGCCGCTGCTGCTGCCGCTGCCTCTGCCGCTACAGCGTGCCCAATGAGAGCCACCCATCAAAAGCAGACACCGAAATCGAGCTGCCAAAAAAAAAAAAAAAAAAAGAAATATAAATGAAAAACAAACTTGGCTCGTTCTGTCCAATTTCCATTTGGCCAAGAGCAAGCGGCACAAATGGACAAATGGGGAATTGTCGCCCATTCATTCTCTTTGATAGTCCACCTCGCGCCGAGGCGAGACTTGCTCGACTCGCTCGACTAGCTTCAGCTAACTGCCAGCCCAACTTGCCTCAAATATTGATTGATTGAGCCTAGCTGCAARTAGATAAGCAAATGCATCTCGGCATCTGCTCGCGTTGATAGCACCTGGCTAGTGAGATTCGCGATCCATCATCTGAGCGAGAGCTGTTCGGCAAGTTAAGCATACTTCGTTGATTGCAAACATATATACAATATATATATATTCAAATTTCAAGCAAGATTCTCCTTTACCGTTTTCTCTCTTGCTATTTATATTTCTATCTCTCTCTCTTATTTACCCTTCATATGTCACTTGACCTTTTCTCACTCTCTTTATGGAGGTCTCTTAATTATCAACTCCTATCTCTCGGTCCATCTCTTTCCCTCTCTACCACTCTCTCCCCCTCTCTCTCTTTATCAATTTCTCTTATTAATTGCTGCTAAAACTACTCGAAATGATAATTAGCCCCTCTAGGCTACCCCCAAAATTGAAGGCATCGCTCTGGTAGCTCCAAGCTCTGTCAGTTATATAAGCCTAATCTATTCAGCCCCTGCAACTCATTGAATAGCGCGGAAGCTGCATTAACAAAGCCACAATTATTAGTCATACGTCACGTGCAACAACAATGAGGCCAGAAAACCAAATCTTTCAGCTCAATTAGCTGACCAGGGGCGCCTATTTGTAATGTGCCACGCCCACATCAATCCTTTGCTCATTGGCACTCGGACGGCTGCGTGCATTGCTCGTTGATTGACTCGCTGACACACTGACAAGATTTGAGATTGGCTCCGTTCGAGAGATGACAGGTGCACTAGGTGTAACACATCCCCTGTTGCCTCCTGCCCCCTCCTTTATCGAGCTCCTTTTCAATTGCTTATTTTATGCAGCTTTTCCGGCGCTTTTCTTGTTTGCGGCTTTTCGCGTGTGCAGCCACATTTCGTTGTTGCATTCAGTTAGTTAACGTTGAATGCGTTTTCAATGCTGCCACACAGTGTAAGAAGGAGTGCCTGACTAGGAAATACCCTGACTTCACACTTGATTGGCAATTAGATTGGGTTCTAGATATAGAAATTTGATTTGATACAATTTTGTGTATTTATGAATTTTAATTATTTAAATGATGATGGATGGGCTATGGAGAAAGATAGACCAACAACCGAGGTAGGTAGGTATAGATCGAGTCGATATACATAAATACCTTGCTGGTTCCCTCATACTGATTACACAAACCAATATACCCTCCTTAAGCAGTTCCAATAGATCCTACTGAATATGCCCTATAAAAAAGGTGTAAGAGCAGGTGTTGCACAATTGCATAATCACTTCATATACACAAATATATTCAAATATATACATAAATATCTTGAGTCTGTCAAACTCTCAGACTTCGTTTCAATTAACATAAAAACGTTAATTTTGTATCTGCACAAAACTAATTATTGCAAATTATTGTAGATTATTGCATTATCTTGAGCTAAAAGTTAAGAGAAGCCTGAATTCGATGTGCGAACAGTTAGTTCATATCCAAGCTCAGACCAACGCGGTTTACTTAACTAACAAGTTGATTAACATAATGGGTAATATTAACTTAGTAGAGACGGATAACGAAATTGTAAGAAACATCACATAAAATTAAATACAAATCATAAAAGACTAGAAAGTGTTAACAAAAGTAAGAAGAAATATTTACTTTACTTTCCATTTATCTAGAATCTGAAAACGTGATTTAAGTAGAGATACAATATATGTATATATGTATATATATAAGTCTGTATACAAAAAAGCGTGAAACTTCAATATTTATGTTCGTGTGTGTGGACTCTTTACTGATAAAGTATTACTATTTGTACAAAGCTAAACTCGATCAAAAAATATACGACTATTATGATATGGTTATTAGCATCCCATTTGTCAAATACTTAATTCGTATCAGTCGCTTGGCCGAATATAATTCACAATTAGTTACAGCTTAGCAAGCGTAGCAAAGCGAAGAGATTTTAACTGTTGTCTATAGTAAAATCTGCTAATGATAGAATCAAAAGAATTTCTCAATGAGGTAATCTGCATTCATCTTATCAATTGTCAAAGCCATTGACCTATGTGGAAATATTAAGAAATGTAGGAAGGCTATTATTATGCACTCTCTTATTCGTTTGCCATATTGCAACGGTTTTACTTGGTTTCTTATATATTATATTTTGGGTACTTACACTGAGTACGTGCCGAAATTTGTTTTCTCTCTTCAAGCGGTGTTTTAAACTTGGCCAACTTGCAGGCCAAAAAAATTTCATATATATTTGTATGTTATTTATATAGTTGCTTTCAATGTCAGAGAAAAACGTGTATTGCACATTAAAGTAGTAACCAGTTAAATTCATATATCCATATGGATTTTCATTTCAGCTGTTTGTGTCTATTGCAAAAGATTTGCAAGTCAAAAATAAATAAATAAGTCAAAACGGGGCAGACAGCAGCTGCGCCAATTTGAGCCAAGGCTAGATATTGGGGAATTTACAGCTTCAGTTCACAATATATACATATGCCTATCTAAACACCATCTGCATATCTCGTATATGTATGATAAACGAATCAACATTAACAATAACTCTCATCCAATATTCATAATTTTTTGCGCTGGCATCATTTGCAAATTAGCTAAATCACATTTCAGGGCGAGGCCTACCCACAGCTCGAGCTCGCCGAAATTCCCAAAGAAACTGTGAATGGAGGTGTAATTGTAATTTTAATCATTTTTTAGTACAAATTCTTCCTGTCTCACTCTTACGCTCGCTCGCTCTCTCACTCTCTCACTCTCATGTTACCACAATATTATGAGGCCTCTGAATCTGTCAGTAAATATATGTATTTTCTTTCTCTCTCTGTTTATGTCGGTCTCACAAAAGCTAACCTATCCTTCTAAGCTCTTCCCTCCTCTCTCTCTCTCTCTCTCTCTCTCTATATCTTTTTTTTTGTCTCTGTCTCATTGAACAAAGCGTTCAGGAAGTATGGCAGCTCAGGCTATTTCTCGCTAACTGAATATTTATTCGCTTAACAGCACAAACTGTATCTTTCTCGTTCTATCTCCCTGGATTAACAGCTAAGGATGTGTCTTTAACATTTCACATAACAGTGTATTTCTTATTACTACATTCCATTTACCTATTCTGTTTTTTTTTTCTACCACACGTTTTAAAGGCCTAATTAAATTAGGTTATTTGAAGTAGCTTTAAATCAATTAACACAATCCAACGGCTTTACATATTTTAGGCGCTGCATTCAAATATTTATTTCCAGCTACACTGCAAACACATATACAAATACACACACATACATCTGCACTTGGTTTGCTTCACTTTGCTTTGCTATACGCGGCCAATAAAACCGTTATAAGCGAACACACAGAGGCACACGCACACATGCGTAACGTTAATGCGGTAATTTTCTCGTCAATGTCGACACTTCGATTACGTCGTCTTCTCAAAGTACTTTGACTGATAAACAGCAATAACAACAGCAATAACATAAGCAAACGCAAAAAATCAACAGCTCTAAACGAAGCGTAGCTAAAAGCTGGGATGCGCGCTAAGAAAAGAAGCCGGAAGGCAAAAAAATAAAATAAAACGGAGATACCGCAAAGTTGTTGCCATTTTAATTTCTCATTTTCATATCTCACATTAAATGTTATGTATATTCGTATACATATACATATTTACATATATTAATTTGTTTGTATGTTTGTGCAAATGCAGCGGGCATTGATAGCGAACGTAATAATCGGGCACGAAACGCGAGATTTTGATCTTCGAAAAAACGAACCGAAGACAATGTGCGCAATGGCAACAACAACGACACACACAAAAAAAAGTAAATAAATAAAAAAAAGGTATCTCACACACAATGAAGTGCAAAAATGCGAATTGAACAACACTTACACACACGCCTACAAATATGTATGTATGTGTATCTCTCTGTGTTTGTGTGTGAGCACTCAAACGAAAATTGAATGCCCTTTTAATGACTATATTGCATATGCGCAAAACTTTCACTTGCCAATATTATTGAAATTGGATATCTGAGGAATTTTGTCGATCATAATTGAGCTATTATAGAATCTTGTCGCTTTCAATTTAACGTCCGGTTGCAAAAAGTGTTTGTTCATTATTAAACTGTTCCCGCCTAAGTATATAGTATTTTTATTTAGTATTTAGTTGTCAAAGTGTGTATAATTTAAAGAGGTTGCATCAATTACTTAACATTTTGCATGAGAATCAAGAAACCTGTTACATTAACAATATTGTACCATATACACACATACATACATACATACATACGATTTTCAAGGTTGTGTCGCTAAAAAATTGTAAAACCGGCAACAAGAAAAAACTTGAAGATGCGCAAAATACAACAACAGCGACAGCGTCCGCTTAGTGGGTCAAATTTGTATGCGTTGCGCCCTTTTTCAGTGTCTGTATTGTGCCACGCCTTGAAGCTATTGCAAAAATGTACGTGTTTATAAAATGTGCAATACTTTTGCTATGATTTATGTTAAACAATTTGTAGCCGCGCTCAAATGCTTAACAAACATAAATCAAGCAGAGTAGGAGCAAGAGGGCCTTAGCCTAAAATCTACATAAAAAAAAAATATTTAATTCAGATCAACGACGGCATCAATGTCAAACCAATCGTCAGCCAGCGAGCGACTCAGTTAGCCAGCTAACCAGCTAACCAAGCAGCGGTCACCTTCTTCATCTTCGTAATCGTTGCTGTTGACTGACCCTACCTAACAAAACGCACACTCATACATTTTTTGACTCGTGCATAATCGATTTACATAAAAGAGTTAGGTTTTCAACGCCAAATGTTAATTAGCTAATTAAGCTTATATAAGAGCTGTAATGGATATTTTAGGTTTACTAGGTACTCGAGATGTTTAAGTGACGTCACTTGTAGAGGCTTACATGATCGCACTAACAAGACCTTTGTATACAGAAATTACCTTGTTAGTGAGAGTGAGAGTGGGAGTGAGGTCAATAACTTACTGTTCTTCTGTCAGTGACGTCACGGTTCGTTTGGGTTTACATATCATGTTAACAGTAGAGCCTATTCACGTTAAGTTTGCTATGTATGTATGTTATAGACTGCTGTCGCCAATTGTGCAACCTATTTATATTAAATAAGTAATGCAGAAAGAGGGTCAATAATTTATTCTTGTGCTTCTTAGTGACGTCACACGTACACGGCACAGCACTAATGTTAACAGCGTAGACTATCTAAGTGATCTAAGATTAACAAACTAGTTGTCAAATACATTGATCTTTATTGATATATATTTATTTTTATTGCAGCCATCATCTCGACCCGAATCAGACTTTACGCTCGACTTGCCGCGCGCCGAGCAACTGCGCTTGAAAATGGAAAAGGAGAAGAAATTCCGCCAAAGATGTCGCCTGATAACAACATTTCTAAGTCTCGTATTTTTTCTGTTAACCGTTATGGTTGTCAGTTTGGTATTAACGCGCGGCAAACGCATGTTTGGCAGCATGATATAGTCTGTCGGCCCAAACCTAACTGAACATTAGCATAAACGTATATATCTAAATAAACTACAAAAATATTGAAGTGCCGTAGTAATCGATAGATTTGCATTAAGCAGCTACACAAAACAAAATCGATAACAACTAATTTTTAGTATTTAGCTCTAGTTTACTCCTCACTATAATACACTACTATTAATTTTGGGGGGGTAACATGCAGTCGCAGTATTTGTTAATAAATTATTTTTGTGATCTTAGGCGTTAAGTGATTTTTTGTAAAAGTGCAGAAGGAACTTTATAAAATCGTCCATTATATATACATATATGTATGCTTATTGTATTAGATTTAAGTCTGAGCTAAACAAGTGTAAATTTGTGTATCAATAAATAAAGCAATATTAATGGAAAAGACTTATTTAATATTTTTCTAATACACACATTTATTTTTTAACGATTTTGTTTTGTAGCTGTATATATAGATACAGATTTGTATATACTTCTTGCATATATGTATGTAGAATATTTTGTTTTTCGTTTATCGAACTCCTTATATAAATAACTTTTGGTATCACAAATTTTTTTTTGTTTTTTGAGAAAAATGCGACGAGAAAATCTTAAGGCAAACTTTAACTGGTAGGCATCTTGTTAGTAACTACGATACACTAAAAAAAAACATGTTACAATTACAATTATAATAGATACTGCATGAGCAACTGAGAAGGCAAGTTGTATTTTCCTGTTTTTAATGAGAATCATAATATGATGGCTTTCATAATATGCGTATGCTCTGCCTATTAACTTCGAATAGTGTTTGATCCTCCTCCTCGTCGCTATTTACATCTTCGATAGCCATTGGGAGCGGCGTTAACTCCTGATTGGCTCGATCGCCTTGCACGCCGTATTTGCGCTCAGCACGAGATAAGCGTAGACTAGAAATGGAAAGATAACATTATCAATAAGAGTTTACATGAGGTTAAAGCGTAGCTTTTACATAAATCGAACTAATAAACTGATAACATATTACAATATTATTATACATTATATCTATTAACGGTAAACACAGATAAACTGTCATACTAGGGATGATAATTGAAAATGACTTTTAGAGCTGTTAACTGAAGCTCGAAAAGTATCGTATGCGTTGCCAGCTTTACAGTACCTGCCAGCTGACTGGGAGCCTCTTAATACATACCGATAAATGCGTACGATCAGCAGCAATAGGGCAGAGCTTGTTATGCCCACTAGAATATAGAAGACAGCGACGTATGTATCGGGAAAATCATTGTTTGAACGTTCAATGTGCACCTCCTCTTCGGGCAATTTGCCTGGAACGACAACTGTTCCTAGCTTCTGGGGATTTTCACTGATGACGACAACTTTATCTGTAGAGGATTCCGCAGTTGCGTGTGACACGCCCAATTCATGTGTCGCTGGCAATATGGAGACTGGTGCCTGATCCTTTTTAACGGTCCTTAGCAATCTAGTATTGGTATTAGTGTTACTTGATATTATTGCTGTTGTTGTTGGCGCTGCTTTGAGAGCTTCGGGCGCCGCATCACTTTGGAGAAGCAACAACGTCAACAAGAAAGCCGCAGGCCATAGCTGCCAACATTGCACTGTGTACTCCATCTATTAGTATTTTTAATTTAATTTGCGTTGGGCAAGGATTAAAAACAAGCTCGCAAATATTTCTGACGTATACAAAATGTTGATCTGTTTTTATTTGATTTGCTTATTTATTTACACTGACTAGGGCTCCAAAAATTCGTATTAAAATATCGATAGGACTGGGGCTGCAAGATTGTCTATCGATTCACTTTCGCAGTGCAGCCAACTTTCTTGCTTACAGTGATGCCACAGTGCCTGCATGTACTTTGCAATGTTTGGCACTGTCTGGCAGCACGTAACTTTTTTTAGTTGGAAAAAGTGATTTGTACAAACGGTAAAAAATCGTCAATTTAGTTAAATTAAAATTAAAAACATTGCAAATAAAAATTAATAATACAAGCGTAGCAATAAACAACTACTGAAAACAGGTAAATTAATGGAAATCTTTAGACTCAACATATTAGCAAATTGTGTATGTGTGCCTGTGAAAATGGCGAACAAAAGATGAAGAAAAAGTACGTGTGTGTGCTGCAAAAGGGAAATCACGACGTCAATGATTAAACGACAGTGAAAAATGCTAGATTGCTAATTTTCCAAATCATTTGTGCTGAAAATTATATGAATAAACCCTTGTGTTCAGACTGCTGTAATAAAACATGTTTTATTAGACCAATTATGCACATATAGTGTGAGTGTATGTGTAACTATGTGTGCGTTCGTGCGTGTGTATGTTTACTTTAACAGGAAGTTAAATTATGCCTATTCACACTCACACATGCAATACCACTTTTTCTTGCATACTAAAATGCATGCTTATGTGTGTGCGTGTGTGTACGTATGTATGCATGCGTATGTATGTGTTGCAAGGGTATTCAGTATTATTTTTGTTTACTGTTTTGTGTTATTTGTAAGTTTCGGAGTTGCCATATCGTATTACATTTTTTTTGCATCATGCTTTACTTTAAGCCCCAATATATGCATAAGCTCTCACACACACGAACACTCTAGCCATATAACTGTATACTGTTATGCGCTATACCCTTTAAAATAAGTAGAACGGGTATTAAGCACACACAACTAATTTGCTGAAAAACTTGTTGTAAGCAATTGCTTGGAAGTTAAAGTAAGGTTTGGATTTGTTAGTATATATTTACAGCTGTATATTTATATTTGGTTTGTGAAGTTATATATGTATAAGTACATGAACAAATAAGGGAATGGCTTAATTACAGAGTAGAGCGTAGCTGTTATGGGTTGATATGCAAAAGTAATTCTTCAATTGTTTTATTTCTGTTTTAATTAAAAGTTCTTGGCCTACTTTAGTTTACTAATTTTCCGTTTATTTGCAGATTGATTTATATATATATATATTTATATATAGACAGACATTTTATATCTCACCCATAAATTGTAAACACTTGATTTGCCAAAATTCCGACCAAAACACCCAAGACAAGATCAGCAGCCAAACGACGCAATCAGGACAGTCAATCCACGTCCCAGTCGCATGCGCCAGTTGTCATTCAACAGCAGCAGCAGCAGCAACAACAACAGCAGCAACATCGACAACAGTTGGAAGGCAAACGAGATTTGCCATCGGCTGCCAAAATGAATCGATCGAGCAATTCTCAAACTACACAGCGTCTGGTCAATTTGGATGACATATGGAACGAGCTGGAAGGGGGCATACGGCAAATATTCGAGCATGAAAAATCGCTAACGCGCAAACAGTATATGCGCTTCTATACGCACGTCTACGACTATTGCACGAGCGTTAGTGCCGCGCCGAGTGGACGCAGTAGCGGCAAGGCTGGCGGTGCTCAGTTGGTGGGCAAGAAATTGTACGATCGCTTGGAGATATTCCTGAAGAACTATTTGGAAGATCTGCTGACCACCTTTCAGTCGATTAGAGGCGAAGAGGTTCTACTGTCACGCTATACACGACAATGGAAATCATATCAGTTTTCCAGCACCGTCCTGGATGGCATTTGCAACTATCTCAATCGTAATTGGGTGAAGCGTGAGTGCGAGGAGGGCCAGAAGGGCATCTATAAGATCTATCGACTGGCTCTTGTCGCCTGGAAAGGTCATCTGTTCCAGGTGCTCAACGAGCCGGTGACCAAAGCGATACTCAAATCCATTGAGGAGGAACGAAATGGCAAGCTAATCAATCGTGCCCTCGTCCGGGATGTCATCGAGTGCTATGTGGAGTTGAGCTTCAATGAAGACGACAGCGATGGCACCGAGCGCAAGTTATCGGTCTATAAAGACAACTTCGAAGCGAAGTTCATAGCCGATACGTACGCCTTCTACGAGAAGGAATCGGATGCGTTCCTATCCACCAACACGGTCACCGAATACATGAAACACGTCGAGAATCGTCTCGAAGAGGAGAAGCAACGTGTTCGCGGTCCCGAGTCAAAGAATGCTCTTTCCTACCTGCACGAGACAACGTCAGATATATTAAAATCCACATGTGAACAGGTGTGTTTCGCATAATGTAAAGTTTAAATATGAGCATGTTAAATGAATCACTTGGGGATGGTTTATATAAAGCGAAAGTTTACTCAAGAGGGAACGAAACCTAGAAGATCAATGTTTTTATTGAAGTTTCAGATAACGCTCTCCCAACCCCAAGAGTTTCACATGTATCATATGCTCTAAGAAATTTATACTATTATCCTAGATGCAGATCTATAGGTCTGCCTTGATATTGCGTAAACTAATAATGTTTTCCCCTTTATTATCTAGGTTCTGATTGATAAACATTTGAGATTATTCCACACCGAGTTCCAGAATCTATTGAATGCTGACAGAAATGATGACCTGAAACGAATGTATTCTCTGGTCTCGTTGTCGGCGAAAAATTTGGAGCAATTGAAGAAAATTCTGGAAGATCACATATTGCAACAGGGCACAGAAGCTATTGAAAAGTGTTGCACGAGCGATGCGGCCAACGATCCGAAGACTTATGTACAAACCATACTCGATACACACAAAAAGTATAATGCGCTCGTCCTAACGGCATTTGACAATAACAACGGATTCGTGGCGTCGTTGGACAAGGCGTGCGGCAAATTCATTAACTCAAATGTGGTGACAAAGCCAAATAATGCTGGCAAATCGCCTGAGTTGTTGGCCAAGTATTGCGATCTATTGCTCAAGAAGTCATCGAAGAACCCTGAGGATAAGGAGCTAGAGGATAATCTAAATCAGGTGATGGTCGTCTTCAAATATATCGAGGATAAGGATGTCTTCCAGAAGTACTATTCAAATATGCTGGCAAAGCGGTTAGTCAGCCACTCGTCGGCATCGGACGATGCTGAGGCAATGATGATCTCCAAGCTGAAGCAGACATGCGGCTATGAATACACCGTGAAGCTGCAGCGCATGTTCCAGGACATTGGCTTGTCCAAAGACTTGAATGCCTATTTTAAGGAGTACCTGAAGACACAAAATATAACATCGGAAATCGATTTTGGCATCGAGGTGCTATCCACCAACGCATGGCCCTTCACGCAAAATAACAACTTTCTATTGCCCTCGGAATTGGAGCGATCGGTGCAACAGTTTACCATATTCTATTCGGCACGACATTCGGGTCGCAAATTGAACTGGCTATATCACAAATGTAAGGGTGAACTGATAATGAATGTGAGTCGCAGCAATTCGGTCTATACTCTCCAAGTGAGCACGTTCCAAATGTCGGTGCTGTTGCAATTCAATGATCAGCTCAGCTTCACAGTGCAGCAGTTATGCGACAACACACAATCTCAGCTGGAGAACTTAATACAGGTAGAGTATGAGAGTTGACAGGAAGCAAGTAGTTCGTATATAATATGTACGTGTGTGTATTAATAACGTTCCCCTTTTTAGGTATTGCAAATACTCCTCAAGGCCAAATTGTTGACCTCAGCTTCCAGCGAAAATGGCTTGACACCCGACTCAACAGTCGAATTGTATTTGGATTATAAGAGCAAGAAGCGTCGCATCAATATCAATCATCCATTGAAGACTGAGTTGAAAGTGGAGCAGGAGACTGTCACCAAACACATTGAGGAGGATCGCAAACTGCTGATTCAAGCGGCGATCGTACGCATCATGAAAATGCGCAAACGTCTCAATCATACAAATCTTATATCGGAGGTACTCAACCAGCTATCGACGCGATTTAAGCCGAATGTGCCCGTTATTAAGAAGTGCATTGATATATTGATTGAGAAGGAGTATCTGGAACGCATGGAGGGAGCGAAAGACACATATAGCTATCTAGCCTAAGCTCATTTGATATATATTTATAACTCTATATATATATGCGTTCCAAAATTATATATATATATTTTGCCAGCCCCACACTAGAAAAAGATATCCAAGTCGGAGATATCCATTAGAGAAGCCTGCCAATATTTTCCAAGATCTTTCATAAACTTCACTCGTCGATTCACGCATTTAGAATGCGTTGCATTTCACACTGAATATATAAAATCATTCTAAGACTTCTTGAATTTCGCGAATATGCCCTCCGCCCTACTTACCCCATATTTCTTTCAAGTGTGTAAAGAAAAAGAAAAACAACATTTATAGAAATGTGCAAGCACAGATAAAAAATTCATGTAGCTCTTCAATTTATTCAGATTATACATAATAATTAATGAGTTTTACTTTTAGTTCATTACGTTTTTAAAATTTCTTTCACACACTCATACATACATTAATGCATACATACATACATTTATAAATATATATTACGGAGAGACAAATGTTAAGTTCTACAATCGAAACGAAATATAAAAGTTGAAGCGTTATTAAAACGATACGTTTAAGATCGGGCCCCCATCTCCTCCTGTTTTAGTGATATCGCAAAGTTTTTGGGTACCTATTGAACTGTTTTTTAATTTAATTCCTGTGTGTTTTTTTTTTTTACTATATAAATCGGCAAATGCAACAAAACTTTTGACGATCGGAGCGTTGCAAATTAAATAAACAAAACATACTTAAATGTGTAAACATATTAAAAAATTCAATTATTCAGAAGGGAAAATATAATAAAAAAAAAAAAGATTAATCACATTATATTAGAAATTGATTACAAAGTTTAAGGTTTTAGAGCTTGAGATAGAATTATCTGAGTGGCTTTGCCAGCCACAATGAACGTATTTTCCAAACATGAAGCCCCTAACCCTATGGGGCTTATACAATCCGTGGACGTGGAACTGACACTCTTTATCAGACGCACGTCTAAATATATGTATATTTCATATGTTTCAATGGCCAGTTAGACTGTATATAGTACATATATTTTTGATGTTCATGCTTTCGTAGCTCATAGTTTATTATTCAAAACTATTTTGTTAGGTACACGTCTATTCCTTAGACTAGTATTATAGGTAGGTTATGTTTATGTGTTTCTTTGATTGTGGCATGCTTATAAAACTATTAACAATGGAGATCGTCAAAGCTTTTAAAGTAAAATCGTGTTTTGTTGCTTAAACAACAACTAGTCATAGTCCGCATCCTTATGCGTGGTTTAAAATTATACAGCCTTGCAGAGGCTGACACTTAAAAATATCCCCATTTGTGCCTTCATTTGGAAATGCTTCCTGCTAATCCTCGTCGTCTAGCGTCAACACCTTTGTCTGGAAACGCATTCGTTTCGTATTCTTCACAATGCCATTCGGGAGAAGATTGGTGCCTGGCTTCTCGCATGGCAAAGCGTTCCAGAGTCGTTTAACACGCACCACAGCGACCGAATTGAAGTCATACTTTTCTTTGGGCGATGCGGGCGTTGAGGGCTGGGCATCAGTCACGGTGGAGGGCAGCTTACGTAGCTTGACCACAGCTTGTTTTAAGTTGGAGCAGCTGCTTCGACTGCTGACACTGATCTTATCCTCCTCCTCCTCGGCCGGCGCCTCCACATCCGAGTTGCCATTCACATCGGCCAAGGAGCAGCCGCGTTTCTGTCGATGCACGTGTTTTGCTTTGGTTGCTTGGGAGCTGAAATGGAAAGTGATTTCGTTGTATTTAGGAATTAGAGCAGTCTCATAATCTCACCTCTCCTCAATTATTTTATATTCATTGATGGTGGGTGGGGCTGCGGCGCAGATCTTGCCGGGCTCCTCGGGATGACAGCCATAATCCTCGCCCTTCAGCCAATTATCATAGCGCTCAGGTTGAAAGCGCCGGACAAATGTTTCCATTGATATTTTAACCATATCGCTACGACACTTACAGATGCTTGCCCTCTTGCCATACTCAATCCAGCGTTTGGAGGCGAAATTCGTGGACTCGGCACCATTGAAGCCATGATTAAAGCCAGCATGGTAGCCAAAGGGAAATGTTATCATAATCTCCCCAGCTTCTTGAGTGATCTTATTATAGGGTATATTATGTTGGCGCAAGACTTTGGGACTGATCATGGTCATCTTATGGCGCAAATAAGCATTACATTCCTGAAAGTTTTCCACGAAGGTTTCATTCGCCAACTTCTCCAAGCGTCTGCCGTAGCGCGGAGGTATTGCATACCAAGTTTTCGGTGCGCCAAAGTGCAAATAGTTGATCGAATATAGATCCATGTCCTCAGTGTGCCAGGCAAAGGAACTCTTCCACATGCCGAAATACAGATATGCCGTATTGACTCCGTCGATTTCAATGCCATAATCTGTATTGACCAGATTCAATATGGTGTCCAATCTACCAATGTTCCACACATCCAAATCTTCATCGCTCAATGTGCCCTTCACATCGGCAGCGTATAGCGGTGATATATATGTGATATTCTTCCAGTACTTGCGCTCTAGATCGTCGTAGTCGAAGTGCTTTGGTGTTTGGTGTAGCTCCGAGTTGGCCTTCTCCATGAACTGCCTAAGCGTCATCTGGCGACGCTGCTGTATATTTATTTGCTGATAAAGTCCGTGAGCCCTACAAACAACACAAGTTGAAGAACTTTACGCATCACGCTGTCCAGGCTCACTCACCCTGTTACCACCTGGCAAATTGGGGCAGGTATTGTCATATTTATATTCTCAATATCATAGCCTGAGCGACGCGGCTTCCACTCTACGGGCGGAATTATTTTGACCAAGCCAGCCTTATGTGCTCCACGTGATTCCATGTAATCGACGTACTCGGCGAAATTGACAAACTCCTCGTAGCTGGGACGGAAGGTCATGATGCGGGGCACATTATTCGTGCCGGCATCATCATGGCCAAACGATAAACGGGTCGACATTTTTTACAAAATGTAACACAAAACAAAATAATAAAACAGTGTTTGGCAATGCCTGTTGACACTTCAATTGCTAGCGAGTGCTGGATAATGTGTGCGGAGTCTTGACAGAGCTTTCATAAGAATGGCGCAAATTCAAATATACAAAAAATATGAGACTTTTAATATACAAAATATTAGTTGAAGGGTTATATCTATATGTATTATTATATTTAAAGTAATGTTCATTTGAACCGATCTTACGCACTTTGTGTCACTTACTCGCTTAGGCGTCATGAAGAGCCAGCCAAACGAAATAAAAGAGAAAACGAAAAGAAAATGGAGGCAGAGTGAGTGTATTGAACTTTCATCAAATTGAAGTGCTGGATAGCGTATGTGCATGAAGTGTGTTGTTAAACTACTCAAATAAATGGCGCGTTTCGAACAGCGAATTCAAATAGGGGTCTCTCCAGATTATGAATATTTACATTCTCAGTTGCTCTATTCACTTTGAAAAAATTTTAATGCAATTATTTATCAGTATGAGATAAAACAATAAATGCGTTGCACTTCTTTTTTTTTAGTTTACTCAGAATTTTTCTAGGTGTTAAGGTTTAGGTTTAATGACAGATTTCTGCGGAAATTTAAATTACTAAATTACACACTTCCAGCAGGGAATCCAGCTTAAATTTGATTTAGATAAGATAAAACATTACTACAAATACTTAAAATATGAGCTGCAGTAAAAATAATAAAAAATAATTTATTAGCGAATTAGCGGATAAAACATAAATTAATAATAAAGACATAAAACGTGTTTATGTCAATGCTTATATCTTTGACACATAATAAACCACAGTAATATATTTAAATTGCAATTGGTTGGTAATAAGATAAATCGCAATTATTTGTGTGTCTGTTTTATTATTTAATAGTCAAGATAATGACTAAAGTTAAACACGGACCCAGCTGCTATCTCAAATCGGGCATTCGCAGATAATCAGAGTGAAAATGAATTCTTAGCGGCCGTATAAAAGGCACAGGTGAAGCCAATTCATGTTTCAGTCGAACAGAAGCGACGTGAAGTTCTAGTAAAGTATTTTTCTGAAAACATGAGTTACGAATCTACGACGGACAAGTGCACAAAGCGTAAGTTGAATTTTGTCAATGAAATGTCATTAAAAAGGGATTCAAATTGAAAGGCAAATCTTTAACTAATGTTCCATTGATTAGATAAAGTGTAAAATGTGTTTAATATAAGTAAAAAAAATCAGCAATGCATAAGAAAATACCAGTTCATTGAGCACTCTTAGAAAACAAAATCCGTTTGTAATCAGCTGGAAGAGGTTATTGATTCGCGCTGTCGAAGAACTTGAGTTCGTCTAGTCATAAGTGAACGTAATGCGGAACAATTCCTACGTATCAATCTCTTTTACTTGTTTTTATTTTTTTAAATGCTTGACCAGGAGATACCGTTTATTTACTAATCAGTTCAACTGATCGATTTTAATCAATACCGTGACAAAATTAAAACCTTAAATTAAAACCCCTAATTTTGTAGTCATTTGCTTCGGTTCTTATACAGATGAGCAGACATTTGTCGATCTGAACGAACATCCTCTTTTCACTCAGACCCATACTCTTAAGCTTTATAAAAATGTATGTGCTATATACATATTCATTTCGTCTTGAAGAGCCAATTATATATGGAGCCATGTATAAAGCCTTGAGTCGCCACTTATATAAGTCTTACATGTGCTTAAGCAGAAGGAGGGCATCAACTGCCTGTTGATAATTAAGCTAGACTCTTATACTCTCATTATACCCTGACGCTCATATACTTGTCTGATATTTTGCTTATGCAGCTTCTCAGTTGATAAGCAAATATATAGGCGCACATATGAAAAGTTTTTGTGGTAACCCGGTTTAAATAAATACAATTATTTAGTTTCTTCAGAAATTTTACTACATTTATTCACGCGTCGTTTATATGTTCAGCCGCACTCGCTGTCCGTGTCCTGAACACTATCGGTTCTCGCTCTATCTTCCTTTATGTTGGCTACGACGTACTCGGTTGTAACTAACGTGAGTGTCAGCTTATGTTTATATGGGCACAAGACATTCGTCAGCACGGCTTTGCCTCCAAGCAAATCCGATGCTTTGGCGACTTTTTCCTTGTCTGCTTTCTCCAAACTCGCCTACTAAGTCTTCAATGTCTGGTATCTTGTTTTTAATGATCCTTGAACATCAATTCCAAAGGGTCTGCTCCTGTGGTTCCATCTGGTGCTATGTTGTATATCAAGGCGAAATTTTGGATCTCTTTATCTTCCCCTTTCGAACCCGCGACTCAGAGGCATTTTGCCAATGATCATATTTTAAAATTTGCTAATCGCGAATTGCCGACCGTTATCTGTTCTGAGGTACATTAAGAGTGTGTTTACCGATCGTCTGTCGTGTTATACTGTTGCCGGTGTTCTACAAGCACATCAAACATTATCTCGAAAGCAAGGCAGAGGTATGTTTTATGCCTGTCAATGCATTGCTTGCACCGTTAATTAGTCATCGGGAATTGCATATTGTTTTTGTTTTTTTAATTGAATGCATCGTTATAATATATGGGTTCGCGAAATGGTCTCTTAAATGCAAAGCTGAAAATTAAGCAAGTAAGAAAGCTCTATTCGAGACTGCTCGACTACGAGATCCCCTGAACCAATATCAATCAATCAATAATCAAATTATAACAAAAATATAAATTTTATAAAATAAATATCAATCTACATTAAAAACTCTAGCTCTAACGGTGTAGGAGATATAATTTAATAGCTTATTTTCGATAAGGTTTTTGGAGAAAACCTCGATATGCGAGTGATGTACGGACCTAGAAAAGAACAATTGCAAGTCTCTATAGCAAGCAAGCTCTCATATCTTCTAAGATCGACACGCTTTTACATACGGACGGACGAACGGACGGACAGACAGACGGACAGGGTTGAATCGACTAAGTTCGTCGTCCTGATCAAGAATATATATACTTTATGGGATCTGCCACGCATCCTTCTCCCTGTTATATATTTTTAACAAAACCATTATACCCTGATTTCCCATTGAAAATGGGTTCGGGGTATACAAAACATAAATGGTTAACAGTAACTTATTGTAATTAGCTGCAAATGCTCAGCGCTAATTCGTTCGGTGACGTAATTAAGCTGATAGTTTAAAAACATTTTCAAGCCCACCTAATCAGCTCGAATGAATATATAGATGAGAATATATGCAACATTCACAAGTCTTAGATCTGAATTAGAACAGTCAAAGCATGCGTTCTTAAAGAAGCCCTTGAATTGAGCCATGCCAATATACTACATAAATTGGTTTAATAAACATATACTAATATATTAATAGATAAAATATACTGTTAGATTTTTATCTAGCCAGACCTGCTCTAACTCAACTATTCTGGTTTTAGTCTAAGTCGTATATCAAATATCTATCTGGAAGTAATATTCCATAAATATATGTATATATGGAAGATAGCGAAAAGATAAGTGATTCTTGCTCAAATAATAACATTTACTCTGTGATTATCTTTGTTTATTTTATATTTCTGATACGGCCTATATGTGTATAGAGTTACAATTGTCGATTGGCTTCCCTTTCGCCTACGCCACTGTGCGTGTTAAATTTTCCATCAGCCTTTTGTTTTTGTTTTTTATTGCATTTGCATTGACTTGCGTTAATGATAATGGTAATGATAATGACACAATAGTTGTTAATTATAAAAGCTGTTGAGCGTCGCACTTACTATCAGAGCGCGCTTGAAACACAATTTGAATGCGTGCAAAAATAAAGTCTAGGATTTAGTAGAATATTAACTGAATAACAAATATTGGCATAGTTCATCGAACAGTCAATAAGTAAAGTCGCATCGAAATCATCCCATAGGATCACAATATGGTCTACTCACACAGCAACGAGAGGACTCCACTCTTAATGGGAGCTCAACTAAGACATTTAGCTAGTAAATGGCCAATAACAAAAGACAAATGACTAATGATCGACAAAGGATCAATCAATATGATCATTCACCTATGAGCAATAACTAATCAGAAGCATCGTCTCATTGATTCTTTCAGCCAGCAACTTTGGCGCTCGCCATTTGCAAGCCATTCTCTTATTTGTGGGCATGATGATCAACTACTTCCAGCGGGTGAACATCTCGGCCGCCATAGTACCAATGACACAGCCAACAGCTGGTGCTCCTTATTACAGTTGGAATACGTCCAACAAGTCGCTAATACTGAGCAGCTTCTTTTGGGGCTATGTGGTGTCCCAGGTGCCGTCAGGTGAGTGTAACTGTATGCAACTAGTATACTTCCCACAATCATGATTAAGATTCGTTTGATTAGCTTAGCTTAATAATAACCGTTAGTTTCTAGTGCTGTCAGCCATTCGCACCATTCGAATTTTGCGTTGCCAGAAAGTCAATAGGAATTTCTGCAACAAGAACCATAATTTGCAATGTTGCACAATTAGCGCTGCCACATAGTTGACTAGACCTTCGTTGCCACCCAGTTGAGTTTATTTGTTTATCTTGCAGGTCTGTTGGCCAAGCGGTTTGGCGCCAAATATGTGATTTCGTTGTCAACGGCTGTTGGCGGCATCTTGTGCTTCTTTCATCCGTTGGCCGCCGAAGGTGGCTGGATCAACATTTGCGTGCTGCGCGTGCTAACTGGCCTCGTCCAGGGCACCGTCTACCCCTGTGTGCACACGCTGCTCTCCAAGTGGGTGCCACGCACAGAGCGTGGCTTCCTTACCACAGGCATCTATTCGGGCGCCCAATTTGGCACAGCTATCATTTTGGTCAGTAGTGGCAACATATTCGAGTCGGCAATGGGCTGGCCGGGCTTGTTCTATATATCGGGCGGGTTAAGCGTGCTCTGGGCGCTGCTCTTCTTCTGGCAGGGCGCCAATGAACCGGCCACAGCGACGAACATTAGCAAAATCGAGCGGGAGTACATTGAGAATCTAACGGGCAGCGATAATACCGGAGAGGTGAGTGTACTTGATAAGAATATACTCTCCATATCATAATTTCTCGACTTGTATGCTCGCGTACTCATATTTGTATATTTACTAATACATGTATAAATTTTTCTTTTCAGTCCCTCGCAATACCATGGAAATCGATCTTCAGATCGTCGGCCTTTTATGGCCTGCTGGCTGCTCATTGCGGATTCACCTGGGGCTTCTACACACTCCTAACAGAGATACCCACCTATATGAGCAGCGTGCTTCAATTGAACGTCAAGTCGAATGCTTTGCTATCTTCGTTGCCCTACTTTGTCATGGGCGTACTCTGCTTTGTGGTTAGCCCGATTTCGGATTTGCTTATCAATCGAGGCACCCTGGCGGTGACGACGTCTCGTAAACTGTTTAACTCCATTGGTCAGTGGGTGCCGATGGGTTGCTTGATTGGGCTTGGCTATATGTCGGCGAATGAGAAGACGGAGGCCATCGTGCTGCTCACCTTGGCTGTGGGCATCAATGCCGCCTGCTTCTGTGGCTACCTCGTAAATCATATGGACTTGTCGCCGAACTTTGCGGGCCCTATGATGGGTGTTACGAATGGCTTGGCTGGAGTCACATCAATCGTAGCTCCATTGGTAGTGGGTGCCATAGTATCCAACGAAGAGGATCCAATTCAATGGCGTGTGGTATTCTTCATCACCGGCGGCGTCTATCTGATCTGCAACGCAATATTCGTAATTTTTGGCAAAGCTACGGTTCAGCCATGGAACGAACCGTCCAACACGTCCAGCACAAGAACATTGCGAAACAATCTGCAAATCGACTCAAGCACCTTGACTCCAAAAGAAGGCAAAGAAGATCGATTTTAAATTTAGTTGATCTAGAGTTCTATTAAGTTTCTACGTGTATATATACTTTTCTAATATAGACCTAGTCTAAGTCTAGTATAGCATTATAATAGTTTTATAGATATAATAAAAGATATGTCTCCTGGCCTGTAAAAAAGTTTCCTCCAACTAAGTTAGTTGATAAGTCATATATAGGTGGTATGGTTGACTTTATTACAGTTTACTATACACGGAATTTTGATATTAGGATTGAAATTTAGGTGAAAGCCATTTAATATTCTAATCTGGGTAAGAACTTGACAAATAATGAATACTATATTATTCAAATATTAAAGCTATAATCGAGGATCCGAGTTACATGAGGTATTTTGTTAAATATTCATACAATTCTTAACAAGATGTATTAATTATTTATATAAATGTTATACTTCCGACTCTGTTCCCGACTTCCATGAGATATAAAATGGGCATGTTTTACTCATAAATCTTCGTTGAACATATTGAGGCCCTAATTACACAGTTTTAAAGTGTAATTTACTTTTAAGACACGGGCTATAGACATGACAATAGTAAATCAGAATATATAACCATACGAGGGCAGCACGTATGTGTAATTCAATGTGTAATTTCAATTAAATTTTGTCCGATTTTAGCCTAACAGGCAAATTATGATTATTAGGTTAGGGTAGTTTTTGTTATTTTATTTTTACAATTCATAATCATTTGTTGTTCTTTGGGTCTAACTAGCTTCAACTTCCAGTAACAAATTCCATAGGCACCAGCGAGGATTAACTAGCTGGAGATAATATCACGTAACTTTCAGTCAACCCTCGCAGATACCAATGGCATTTGTCCCAGCGAATCACAAGCCGAAAGTCGCGAGTCTTCTAGCATTTATCTTAACTGCAATATTTACAAGTGTCAACAAATAAAGTTATAGTACTATAAGTCTAGTCTGGCGACAATTATCACACGAGAGCAGTACATATAAATTCTCAATCCGTTAGGGCATTACTCTAGCTTTTCCTCCTGCAGCTCTTCCTCAGCAAGTTGTTTATTAATACGTTTGGTTGCCTTTCGAATGGTCAGCATAATCCAAACCGTAGCTCCCCAACTAATGATGAGTGTGGCACAAAGAACTGGAACATAGCCATTGGCATCGCCTACAGGTATCTCAGCTATCAGTGGTTTATCTATACTCAATTCCATATGTAATCGTTGCCAATTACATTTCTCCATTTCGGTCTGTTCCACAAAATCAGTTGCGCTTTCGTCTAGGCAGTAAAATTTATCATATTCCTCCAGTAATGCCTTGTCAATGAGTTGCTTATCGTCGTTCGTACAGCTTATATAAAGTTGAGGTGCGCCTAGTTTTACCTTGGCCAAGGTGCTGTAATAGGTATATATATATGAATAGAGTACTTGTATAGGTAAATATTGATATTGATGTCTTACGTTGTACGACTCGCTGCATGATAACGGAAATGAATGGGCAGTTGTATGGGATCTTTAATCTTTGTTGATCCACGTAGAAGTACTGAGAAGGGTTTCGCTTTTTCGGTTATAATTTCAACGTCTACGAATTTGGGATACTTCGCATTTAGCTGTTAAGTTGATAAGTGAATTATTGTTTAATTATAAAGGAACTTCAGTTAATTCAAAATAATTGAGATAATAACCAAGGCTATTTCTTCATGCACAAGTCTATATCCTACCAGCAATTATTGCAGGGCATCATTTGGTAGTAGTTTATAAGCTTATGCATAAGAAACATAGGTCTTTATTTCTCATTGACACAAGAGTACTGCATTAACCGTCCGACTCTTGATCATCAACTATTAAGGGTATCGTGGTGCTCACCATTTTCAAACGCCGCAAATCGTCCAGCTCGTCGGTGCTAATGTAAACGGCCGCCGGCAACTGTTGCGCGATCATATATTCACAATTCAAGTTCGCTATTGCTTCAGCGAACTCTATGGTGTACTTTAGCTTTCTGTTTAGGTAATTTGATTTGTATTTTTATGTTTAAATGTGTTTTTGTTTTATGACAAACCTATGCATGCCCACTGGGTCCATTTCGATACGCATAACGCTCTGGGGCGGCGCATGACAGTTTATGCTGTTTGCCGACAGTGCAGCAATGAATACTAATATTGAAATTGTCGAATTTGTTATGCATTTCATTTTGTTTACCTAAATAAATTTTAACATTGCTTTTGTTGTTAGTGTTGACAAACGAAAAGCCAATAAGGCTGCAAACTTGTTTAAAGGCGAACTGTCAATTTTATTGGGCTGCCAACTTAAAGCAGAAATTAAGCGCGTAACTTAAAATACCGAGAATCACGTATTTTTGGTAATTATCTTCAACTTCATTTCCAATTTTTTCATAACTGTCATCTTAATGCAAACATTACTTGCGTAGTTAAATATATCTTAAAATTAGTTTACTATAAACTAAATATCTCTGCAATTTAATTCTTTGTATAATTGCGAGCCTTGCCGTGCTAGTTTATCTGCCATTTCATTTCCTTTGATGCCATTGTGTGCTTCAACGTAGTTCTTGAAGGAAAAAAGCTATAAGTTATGCCTAAAACAAAATAAAGCAAAACTCACCCATTTAACTTGAATATCTTCATTTTGCAGCAGCTCATCCAATTCTTTGAAGTCAGCTACATTTTTAACAGGTGTCATATCTGGAAGACACCAACCACGCCTCTTCCAGCCGGGCACCCATTTTGTTATGGAATTGATCAGGAACTGCGAATCTGTACTTATGCTGAGCTTTTTGATGCCCAAATCCAAGGCGGTCTTAATAGCGTATATTGCTGCCTGAATTTCTCCGACGTTGTTGGTTACACGCCCCAGCACAGGTTTTGCAGCATTTCTATAAAAGTGATTCAAGGAATAAAGTAAATAAATTATGTTCCTTTGAATAGGAGGTACTCACAATGGATGGTTGTCCCCAAAGTAGACACCAAAGCCGGCGCATGCATGCTTTTTCCCATTGCCTAGACATGAGCCATCTGTGTAGACAATCACATATCCTTCGGAATTCATCGTAAACTCAAAGGCTCCGAATTGTTTCAGTGCGACGATTTCTTCCACATTGGAGACATGTCGTGGAATTTTCGATTTCGTAGCACTGGTGCTTTCAGCTTTACGTTTCCGATTGATTCCTGACTGCTCAGTAAATCCTTCTACCTCATTAATGGCCATTAACTAATGCGACAATAGGTAAGCATTTAACTCCAACAAATATTGCAAGTTTTATTTACCAAATCATCATCTGTGACTTCTTGTTTTTCATCAACATCTTCGGGCCAGTAATCTTTTGCCTCAACTACATGTTGCTGCTTCTGCGGCTGCCAACTGGTTGGCGGACCTTCCTTTTGTCCAAGTGCTACAGCTACTTCATGTGGAGCGTAGGTTTCTTTAGCTCCAGGGGGATTTATAAATTCCTCTGCATCTTGGCGGCACTTAAATTTTTTGTAAAGGGCGCCTTTGAAGCCTTTCACTTGTTGCTCACATTGCGTCCAGCTTTCATATATGCCAACTTTTCGGCCTTTTGCAACTGCGTAGAAAGCCATTTTGCGTTCAAATATTCTCACATTGTATTGGAGTTGAGCACACAGGAGTCTAAACATTATGAGCCTTAAGTGTTGTAAAGTACTGCACGAGCGCTACCAGATCAGTGAACTATTGTGTATAAAGTTTTTATTTGTAATTTTCAATTGTATATCAGATGAGTGAATAATCATATATATATTTGAAATTGAAATAAATGTAACACTAGTAATAGTAAAAATGTAATGTTAGGCATTATATTAATTAGGAAAAAAATCGTTGATGCCATCATCATCAAAAATTGAATGTACACCAGCAATATATATCGATATATCAGTGGCTCGATAGTTCTTTTCACGTACATCTCTAGATAAGAAGCTAATAAACGAAAATAAAAAATCTGTTTTTCCTGTGCACAAGTTATATCATTAATAATGTGCAAGGGAAGTGTTTCGTTAGTTTGTTCTGTTTTTGTGTTAATTGTGCAAATACAAAATGCCGAATTTCGCGCATACGAAGAGATTGCAGTTGTTGAACCAGAAATTGCAGCTGCAATCACAGCAAATCACGATAAGCGTAAAAATGCACGTTCGATGATTTGCTATTGCGATGGCAGCTGCCCGAACAATGCAAGCAACGGTACTTGCGAGACACGACCAGGTGGCAGTTGTTTCAGCGCCGTCGAAGAGGTATACGATGAGACAACGGGCACATATGAGGAGGAGCGCACCTTTGGCTGCATGCCTCCCGAGGATAATGGCGGACTGTTAATGTGCAAAGTGTCAGTAATGCCCTATTTACATGGCAAGAACATTGCCTGCTGTGACGAGAAGGACTTGTGCAATCGTAACCTGCAGCCAGATTTCATGCCTAAGCTGACGACCCCACCACCCGAACTGCCCGTTAGCCAACAATCCATTCATGTAGTCCTGGCCATCATTGTGATCGTCGGCGTGTTTATTGTGTTTTTCGTCGTATTGTGCGTGGTCTTCAAGCGTCGCAGCAAGCTACGCAAACAACCACGTTTGATCAACTCCATGTGCAACTCTCAGATATCGCAGCTGGTCGAGCAAAGCTCAGGGTCTGGTTCAGGTCTTCCGCTCCTGGTGCAACGCACCATTGCCAAGCAGATTCAAATGGTGCGCCTTGTTGGCAAGGGACGCTACGGCGAGGTGTGGCTGGCCAAATGGCGTGATGAACGAGTCGCTGTTAAGACCTTCTTCACCACCGAGGAGGCGTCCTGGTTTCGTGAAACGGAAATCTATCAAACTGTGCTAATGCGACACGAGAATATTTTGGGCTTCATTGCAGCTGATATCAAGGGAAATGGCAGCTGGACACAGATGCTATTGATCACCGACTACCACGAAATGGGCAGTCTACACGATTATCTCTCCACATCGGTGATCAATCCACAAAAGCTCCAGCTGCTCGCCTACTCCCTGGCTTCCGGCTTGGCCCATTTGCACGATGAAATCTTTGGCACACCGGGTAAACCGGCCATAGCCCATCGCGATATCAAGAGCAAGAATATATTGGTGAAACGGAATGGACAATGCGCTATAGCTGATTTCGGATTGGCTGTTAAGTACATCTCGGAACTAGATGAGATACACATTGCACAGAATACGCGCGTCGGCACACGTCGCTACATGGCGCCAGAGGTACTCGACCAGACGCTGAATCCACAACAATTCGAGGAGTTCAAACGTGCTGACATGTACTCTGTGGGTCTTGTTCTCTGGGAAATCGCCAGACGTTGCTATACGCCCATATCGGGCACCAAAACAACTTCTTGCGAGGATTATGCCTTGCCATATCATGATGTGGTGCCTTCAGATCCCACATTTGATGATATGCATGCCGTTGTCTGCGTAAAAGGTTATCGACCGCCCATACCGATGCGCTGGCAGGAGGATGACGTACTAGCCAGCGTCGCGAAGATTATGCAGGAATGCTGGCACCCGAATCCAACGGTGCGTTTAACAGCGTTGCGTGTTAAGAAAACACTTGGACGCCTCGAAGCAGACTGCCTTATCGATGTGCCTATGAAAATTGTTTAGGGGAACTACTACTAGAGAGCGATCCCTAACTGAACTTTATTTTGATATATATACAGTATATATATAGTTTTATGTATAGATTAGTTTTGCTAGCTGCATATTGCATTTATAAAGCAGGATTTTTTTTTGTTCGTTCGACAACTAGTTGATAAGCCCTTTTTAAAAAACTTTGTGCCTACCAATGACACAGGCCAACCAAGAATGAGAATATATATGCTGCACCGAAACTAATGTAAAGATAGCTTAGACTTTCACAAGATAAAATAACAAGTATATTGACTTACATTTGACGACCTAAAACATGATTGACTGTTGGCCTGTGTAATTGATCTTAACCTTAAGATTCGTACTGATTCGTATGCTAGTTTAAGTAACATTTGTTGTTTAGTTTAATGTTAGTGTTAAGGTTCAATTGGTTTGCAAAATGCTTTAACTTTTCTTGGGAAATCTTTTTTGAAAAAAATTGAGTTTCAAAATTATTTTTGTGCCAGCTTACTTTTGAGGTAGAACTATATAATAAACCTAGGCTAAGTTGAGCAAGCAGTGAAATGCTAAAAAAATATAAATATACATATAATAAAAGAACTATATTTTTGTAATTTAAGTAAATGCAAAAATAATGCTGCCTTATGTAAAATTTAAAATCGACTACACTTAGCAGATATATATATACAAATATATAAAAAATGTTGAGCAGCTGCTTCAAATAGTTTAGGAAGCAATAGACATATATACATATATATAGTTAATTAAGTTATTTGAAGGTGCAACATTTTAACGATTTACCTTTTTATGTGAACTAATCGAACAATTCACAATATTTCGTTTAGCTTTAAGCGCAACTAATACATTTTGTTTAAGAAATTACAATAACAAACGTTTCAATCTTCAATCTTTATTTTAAGATTTTTATTTACAATTTCTAATAATCATAATAAATATTAATTTCTTTCAATGTCCATTTTTATTTACAAACAATTAGTGAAATTTTAGGCATCCACTCATACATACACACACAAACAAATGTCAACATGAGAAGCTCAGTATCCATGGAGCCGTAAAAATAATCGATAATTTTAAAAAGGATTCCAGGTCTAGCTCTTGTATCGATGAACACACAACCATACAGAAATCTTATAGAGGATCAAAATAGGAATATTCTTCAATATAAGGGTCAACTCGTCATTATTTTCTCTCGAAGATCATTTGTCTCCTCATTCGATCTCTCAAATTTATCTTGCTCGTTCTCCTTGTGTTTGCCATTTTCTTGCCCATCCGTTTGCATAATTTCCATGCCTCTGCTAGTCTCCTTAGCTTTGGCACCCTTACGCTGCGGTATAGTCTCCAAAATTGCCTGAGTCCATCCCTGGTTGGCTGCCACACGTGTCAGAAGTTCGAAGACATGAAAGGTGCTCAGTACGGAGCGTGTCTTCATGTCCACGTGTTCGCTGAGCGGCAGGCGAGCAGTGAGAAGTCCCGCACTTGTTGCACGCTGGTGGCAGAGACCCTTAAAGTGATTGTGATCGACTAAGCCGCCAATGACATACGTGTATCCGGGCAGCAACTTCTCAAGTATCGTGTCCGATTCGCACGTCAAATAAACCATTTTCTGCTTGTCGAAGAGTTCAGTGTGCGTGCGATCGAAGTGGTAATCAACATGCCAGTTCTCCCAGCCGTCGTTTTTCTTGAAGCATTCGTGGATGTGGCCATCACTCTTAATGCCTGTAAAGTGCAGACGTAGCGGCTGGGTGGCACGCCGATTAATCGTATAGATGCGTAGACACTGCTTCACACACTTGGCCACATCGCGTTCCTGCATCAGATCGTCGTAATCCAAGTCGATGGCTACGCTGATTGTATCAGGACTGCTTTGTTTGTCGATTGCCGTTAGCTGGCGGCGTTTCAACTCCTTGCGAGACGGACCCACATTAACTGGCAGGCCTTTGGCCTTGGCCTCCATTCGCTTCTCCTTTCGACGCTCGCGCTCCTTCATTCTTCGAAGTTTTCGTAACTCCAGCATCTCGGCGTGCTTTCGTTGCTTTTTCAGCTGGTTTTTGCTCAACGGTGTGGCGGGCGTGGTTCCTGGACAGCTGCTCAGAGTAATCTCCGCGGGTTGCTCTTGGTTGTGTTCTTCCTCCTTTATATCCATATTGCTAATTCTTTCTTCTTTACTTAATAAAATAAAATTTAATACGTTTGTTTAGTAAAGCATGTTTAGACTTATATGGTTCGTTGGAACAACCTGTTATCGATTCTTGGTAAACATCCAGCCCTAGCAAAACGACCACTTCAGTTAGTTCATGCGAACTAGCTTGACATTGAACCTAGTTTAGTTACCTATGCATCCCTGGATAAACATATCTGCAAGGGCTACTGCAAAAGTTACTATTGTGATCAGTTTTCGCGAAGAAGTTGAGCTGAAAAGGGCTCTGGCTAGAAAATTATGTACCAGCCACCTCTGCCGCCGCCGCAAAATGTTCCCACACAACCCCCACCTCCTCCGCCACCAGCTGAAGCCATAGAATTGCCCCCAACAGGCCAACCGGTTAACATTGAAGCACCTCCGCCGGCTAACTTCGATTATGCACAGCAGCCATGGAGTATGAACGATGCTTACAATTCTCAAGGTTCATCTATGAATTATGGCAAATATGACGCCACAGCTTATGCGCCATATGCTGCAGCACCACCGCCGCCACCGACATATGCAGCCAACGCAGCTCCTTATTACTATGGGAATTATGGCTATCCTGAGAGCTATGCAGCACCGCCATCCAATTACGGAGCTAAGCCGTCTAGCTCTGGTTATGACTCCAGGTCAGATTACAGACAGGGCAATTACTCCTACAATTATCGTCCGCCCAGTCACAACTATTACTCTAATAATTATCCGAAAAACTATGGCGGCTATAACTATAACAATCGCTATGAACAGAGGTATTATAATCCACGGCAGTCGTATCATGCCAACCAAAGAATTCCCAAGAGCATGCCCAACGAGGCGGCAACCACGCCCAAGATGGAAACGGAACGGGACCGTCTCTTACGTCAGTGGTGTTCAAACTACTGTGAGAAGCCCGAGGATTATATAAAGAAAATGAATGCCTTGATCGAAGCAGAGGCGCCTGCCGAATCCTGGGTGCGCTCGTCGCCCGCCGAACTCTACTACGAGCGCACAAAGACCGAGCACGAGGTGAGGGCGAAGCCACGCCTTCACAAACGCTGTGAGCTATTCCAGCAGCAGCTCATCGAACGCGCTGAGAGGGTAAGGAAGACGTTGCCCGTTTATGTGCCGCCTGCGCGAAAGACGCGAAGACGTGCTTGCAACCACAAGCATAAATCGGAGGCGTGTTCCTCCAGCTCCGATTCGGACTCGGATGAGGATGCCTTCAAGATCGAGCAAGATTGCTGCATGGAAGAGCTGTCGCGCAAGATGGAGCACCCTCAGCGGCTGCACTCCGATCTGTGGCATAACGATGCAGGCGAAATGAACGATGGTCCGCTCTGTCGCTGCTCGGCGAAATCTAGACGCATCGGCATACGACACGGCATCTATCCGGGCGAGAAGGGCTACCCACTTTGCGATAAGGACACAAACAATGCGAGCAAACTTTTTCATTATCGCATCACCATTTCGCCGCCCACGAACTTCCTGACCAAAACGCCGACAATCATCAAACACGATGAGCATGAATTCCTCTTCGAGGGCTTCTCTCTGCTCTCCCATGTCCGGCTAACGGATTTGCCGGTCTGCAAGGTGATTCGCTTTAATATTGAGTATACAATTGAATACGACGAGGAGAAGATGCCAGAGAACTTTACCATTCGCGAATTGGATTTGTTCTGTAAGTCATTTCACGCCCTCTAAATAATAGATATATAAATCTGTTCTTCTTTTAGTTAAATATCTGTTCCATGAGTTATTGGAGCTTGTTGACTTTAATCTCATGCCGAATGTCGAGCAATCCTGTCCAGCTTTTCACTTCCTGCCGCGCTTTGTGCGCGAGCTGCCGGACAACGGCAAAGAAGTGCTGGCCATGTGCGAGGTACTGAAGTATCTGCTGGACAACTCAGCAGAGCTGGTGGAACCGCAGCAGCTGCAGCACCTGAACGACATAAGCCAACATGAATGGCAAAAGTATGTCGATTACATCAAGGGCATGCTGGTCACAAAGCCTGGCTATAAGCCCTGCTCGCTGCGTGTCGATCAGTTGGACCGAAATAATTCCGATCTACCCGAGTGCTTGGACCGAGAGAAGGGCATCTCCCATCCAGCGATTGTGCACTTTGGCATACGCCCGCCTCAGCTGAGCTATGCTGGCAACCCGGAGTATCAGAAAGCTTGGCGGGAATACGTCAAATTTCGTCATCTAATGGCGAATATGTCGAAGCCATCATTCAAGGACAAACGCAAGCTGGAGGACAAGGAGCAGCGGCTGCAGGAGATGCGCACGCAGGGTCGAATGAAGCGAAATATAACTGTGGCCATCAGCTCGGAGGGCTTCTATCGCACAGGAATTATGTGTGACATAGTGCAGCATGCCATGCTTATACCTGTACTAACTGGACACCTTCGCTTCCATAAGTCCTTGGATCTGCTGGAAGAGAGCATTGCCTACAAGTTCAAGAACCGCTACTTACTCCAATTGGCTCTGACGCATCCTTCCTATAAAGAGAACTATGGCACCAATCCGGATCACGCGCGGAACTCGCTCACAAATTGTGGCATTCGACAGCCAGAATATGGAGACCGTAAGATTCATTATATGAACACGAGGAAGCGCGGCATCAATACTCTCGTTAGCATTATGTCGCGCTTTGGCAAGGATCACGAGACGGTGTCCAACATCACGCACAACGAACGTCTTGAGTTTCTGGGCGATGCTGTGGTCGAATTTTTGAGCTCGATTCATTTGTTCTTCATGTTTCCGGAGCTGGAGGAAGGTGGTTTGGCCACGTATCGTGCTGCCATTGTGCAGAATCAGCATTTGGCGTTGCTAGCCAAGAAATTGCAGTTGGAAGAGTTCATGCTGTATGCCCACGGCTCAGATCTGTGTCACGAGCTGGAGCTGCGACACGCCATGGCCAATTGCTTTGAGGCTTTGATGGGCGCCCTACTCTTGGATGGCGGTATCAAGGTGGCCGATGAAGTGTTCACCGATGCTCTCTTTAGGCAGGATGACAAGTTGCTGGCCATATGGAAGAATTTGCCGGAGCATCCGTTGCAGGAGCAGGAGCCACTCGGCGATCGCAGCTGCATCGATGCCTACCGCGTGCTCAAGGACTTGACCAGATTTGAGGATTCGATTGGCATCAAGTTTAAGCACATCCGCTTGCTGGCACGCGCCTTTACGGATCGCTCGATTGGCTTTACGCACTTGACGCTTGGCTCGAATCAAAGGCTGGAATTCCTGGGGGATACTGTGCTGCAGCTGATCTGCTCGGAGTATTTATATCGACATTTTCCGGAGCATCATGAGGGACATTTGTCTCTGCTGCGCTCCTCGCTAGTCAACAATCGCACCCAGGCTGTGGTCTGTGACGATCTGGGCATGCCCAAGTTCGCTGTCTATGCCAATCCGAAGGCTGACCTAAAGACCAAAGATCGGGCGGATCTGCTGGAGGCTTTTCTAGGCGCCCTCTATGTGGATAAGGGTCTGCTATACTGCGAGCAATTCTGTCATGTCTGTCTCTTTCCCCGACTGCAGCTGTTCATCATGAACCAGGACTGGAACGATCCCAAGTCGAAGCTGCAACAGTGTTGCCTAACCTTACGTACCATGGATGGCGGCGAGCCGGACATCCCCTACTATAAGGTGGTCGAGGCGAGCGGACCCACAAACACGCGCGTCTATAAGGTGGCCGTCTATTTTCGGTCGAAGCGCTTGGCCACCGCCAGTGGCTCGTCCATACAGCAGGCGGAGATGAATGCGGCGAAGCAAGCGCTGGAGAACTCCCGAGATCTGTTCCCCCAACTCGATCATCAGAAGCGCGTCATTGCCAAGAGCATTAAGAAGCAAACAGGCAGCGAAATGGACAACGATGTGGACAAGGCAAACGATGATAAGGTGAAGAAGCCCAAGTATGCAGCGCCACTGGAGGATGAATCGCATTTGCCGAAGCAGTATCGCATGCATGAGAATATATCCAGTGATGAGTTGCCAGAGGATGACGATGAAGATGATCAAGGAAGATCCACTTGTAAGTACTTTTAGATGCTTCAGGCGACCAGCTTCAATTTACTATTTTACTTCTTTTTGTTTAAAGCGCCTGTTCATCTGCCAAAGCATCGAAAAGGCAGCAGGAGCAGAAGCAGGAGCCGCAGCAGCTCCAGTAGTAGTAGCAGCAGCAGCAGCAGAAGTGATACAGATAGTGACTCGTGTACTACGCCAAAGCGTCGAGCGCGTCAAGAGGATGGCTCTGTTTCGCCAGTCTCTTCTTCCTCATCATTATAATATAAATTAGATTTAATAATCTTTAAGATGACAAAGTAACATAAGCAAAAGATAAACCCCATATGCCTATTCGAAAGCTCCTATATTTAGTATATAAGTAGTAACTATTAATTTGCCTAAAATATGCATTTTATTTTAATTAGTCATTGAATTTCAAAGCCAATCGTTGCATAAAGTTTGTTTAAATAATATATATACAGCTTGACCATAGAAATTGAGTTTTTGTTATGCCCTCTATACCCATTAAAATTGTATAATGATTTAGTTTTAACTTATGAATGAATCTCTTTGTCATTTTTATTGAAATGCTAAAAATGTTTTCAATACCGAATACAATTTACACCAGTTGCACCACTATTTCCGAGTTGTACTTTAGTTCAATTTCATTGAAGAGCGATTGCATTTCAAATATGAATTTGCTATAACTAAACTCAAGCACAGCAAATAACAAATCGGTAACAAAATAAAAAGATCAGGAAGATAAATTTATCGTATAGCAAGAATTGTAAATTTAAACAATCAAATTGATTTCAAGAATGCCTATCGGTACAAAATGCAATGCAAATTCAACAACGTATTTAGTCAGGGAAGCTTAGCCAGTTTACTTAAAGAGCGACAGACGGCGTCCAAGCGATCGTCCACTGCTATTCAAGGCGTTCGTAATGTCCTTCAACTCTGGCAGATTCTGAATGTCACCACGAGCTGCCACCGAAGGGACAGAGTTAAGAAGTCTTTGAGCAACGCGTTGTATATCAGCGGCTGTTACTTTTTCTAAATGAGAGAGAATGTGTATCACATAGTTCAGTTATCACTCCGTATATATATATATCTAAATTATCTTACCAATCTCATTGATGAAGTGTTCGGGTCGCTTGCGATACCCCGTAACTAGAACTTGACGTCCTACATCTTCGAACACAACCGGTCGGGACTCGAGGTTCATCAGTAGCATCGATTGCAATTGTATTTTGGAGCGCATCAGCTCTTCGTTGCTCGGCTCGGCGGTCATGTTCATCAGTTCTCGTGTGAGGACCTCTACCATATCTCGCATATGCTGTGGCGGTGCACTGCCGTGTATACAGAAGAGACCCGTATCCACATAGGCATGATTGTACGCTGTTGCGCTGTACATCCAATGGTAGCGATTCAAGACTTTGGTATAGAGGCGAGAGTACATGCCCTTGCCTGGTCCTCCAGCAGAGAAGGAGCCGCCGCCTCCCATCATTATGTTAAGCACACACAATGGCACAAAATCTGAGTCTTGGTGAGAGCAACCCTCAAAGCCGAGCACAACGTGCGCCAGCTCTGGTAGTCCAGCCGCCGCATATATCGGAATTTCACAATGTTCCTTAAAAGGTGTAAAAGAGCTTCATTAACGTATTCAGGAAATGCTTGTCTATCGGCTCATACTTTAACTAAGCCGCCCGTATACTGAGCTTGTGATGTGTCCACTTGATTGGGCCCTGTGCTTGTCAGATTTTCGTTCATCCAAATGGCCTCGTTGTCGACAAAATATTTGGTAACATGCTCAACCAGCTCATCGTGATCCACCTAAGGAGAAAGAGAAGGGCACATAGGATGCATTCTACTTGCGGGTGCGTGGATCAAAAGCTTACACCAACACCGGCGATGACCATACGATCCGGCGTATGATGATATCTTAAATAGTTCATTAAGACGTTGCGATCAATGCTATCCAGATTCGATGGCGGGCATAGTTTTGGCAAACCCAGCGTGTTTTCCTTATAAGCAGCCGCATGTATCATGTCCATGAGTATTGGCTCCTGTTCGGGTCGCATGCCAAGCGTTTCCAACTCAAAGCTTACAGCCCGTCGTGCCAAATTTACTTCCTGTTCGCTCAGCGTGGGCCTCAAGGTTACGTCAGCCAGCAATCGGGTAACGGATTCGATTGCCCGACTATCAATGCTCGCTGCATAGATAAGCGTGTCCCTTGAGCTTTGGCAATCACAGATGCCGCCGTTTTTCTCCAACTCCTTAAGAATTGCATCCTTATTGGGGAAGTTAACTGTCGACTGGGAGTTTGATGAAAGAAGGGAATAATTAATTTATATTTTTAAATAAATGTATGGCCATTGGCATTATGAATTGAAATGAATTGGATGTCTAGCAATTGCCTGCAGATCATATGTAATGTATGACAGGGAATGGCAATGAATGACGACGATGCCATGTGTATGACACGGAGTGAATGGCAATTACCTTCAGACAGAATTCATTCACGTAATGCATGTATGCGGATAAATGGCAATGGTCGAGGAGATGAAATTAAATTTAGTGGAAACTTACATTGAACGCAAGTTTCTCAAGAAAGTGGGAAACACCACTGGGATAGGCGACTTCGTATCGTGGCCCGGAATCCAGCACGAGACCAACGGTGCAGAATTGTCCGTAGCGTGGCTCCGAGGCGATGCGTAAGCCATTCACCAGTGTCGTCACCTTTGTGGTGGCGCTCTCTACTAAGGGCTTGGCATAGACGGCCTCCGGCAAATTTGGCAGCGGTTCGGTTAGGGGCGGCAGGTGCGTAACAACTTCTTTGGACGGCGTGTTTACCTTGTGTGGACCGCCGTCTTTACTACGCACACGTCCAGTGATTTGGCCGATGCCGGTGCCACTACCAATTTCATCCCCACCAACTACCGTTACTTTTGTGGCAAAGCGACGTGGAAATCTAATTGAGTAATAATGGTGAAATGCATTATTTTTTTACCGGTTCTTTYTGTCGTTAAGCACACACACACACGATTCTTACGTGCGCCAAGAGTTTCTTAGAGTTTGCAGCATAGTGAAGCTTCTCACGTTCATGATTTGCAGGTGATTTGGGTCTGGCCTTGAGCGTTTGCAACTATATTTACAATTTCAAATGTTGAATTTTGCTGCGTTCAAGAAATCTGTTTCAAAGACATACTTTTGAGGAAAAAAAATTGCTCTTCTTCTTGACTAATGTCAATCACAAATGTCATATGGGAACTAAATGCGTAGAGTTGTATTTTTTAACAAGTATCGATAACAGCTCGACAACCGTGAAAATTTAAAAAACGATATGTTTGTTGTATTTTTTATTAATGTATTTTATTTATACAGCTTGAATGTGTTTTAGTGTATTACAAGCTAATCAAAGTTAAAGCGCCGCTTGCCATCAAAGCGATAGCCATAGGCTGCTGCGTTTTTCGTGTCCACCAGTGCAGGATTGCGATGCTTGAAAAAACTACCGTGCCCGTGAGCAGGTCGAGAAGCGCTATTTGGTATGCCCTCCACTTCGCGAGGATAAAAGGCTTCAAACATTCCTTCAGGCGGTAGGCAACACTCCACTATTTTGGTATCATTTGGATCATAAGCGTTGACACTGACTTGTTTATGTTGTGCGCATAAAATAATCAGTAGTATATTCAAAAGTTTCGTAATTACAACCATTTCAAGCTGTACAGACGCGAACCTTCCTTTTACTTTTTGTTTGTTTATTTTTTGTACACAATGCCAAACTTGTTTTGCGCTTTGTGTTGTTCCAATTGCTGTGGCTTCCGTTATACTAATTACACCTTAAGCCGTTCTTTGCGTGCTGCACTCGATTCAAGTTTGGTGAGTTTCTATCATATTTTGTTGTTGCGGCTGAATAAGCTTTTTGGTGCTTAAGATTCGGCGGTCTGCATCTTTTTTTTTTTAATCAAATTGGCAACACAAAAATGATTTAATCAAAAGTGGACCATAGAAATGTTGGTATATTGATGTAAAAGTAAGTCAAGTGCTTAAAACTTCTCATTTCTTATTGCATTTTGGTTATAAGAAAACGGCAATAGTGGTGAGTTTTAATAGCTATCGAAATCTCCCATCACTAATTGAGTTGAGTTTGTTCAATTCGTGTTTACTTACTATCACGCTCATCTCTATAAGCTAAATCAATTGGTCAATGTTTCGCGCCGGTCTGTTTGTTCTTTTCTAAAGCAACAAATGGCGTCATTTCAAACTTCTTTTATGTGGCAGCGCCAAAAATCTACACGATGTGCACATAACAAGAAATGCATTTCATATATTACTCTATTTTAACAAAAGTATTTTAATTGAATAAGATCCAATGGCGGCAAATTCAAATAAATATCTAAAAATCCCATCACTAAGGGGGTTGTACTTTCATTCGTGACCCCTATCAGAATAATGCACATCTCTTTTGCCTGGAGCAGTTGGTCCATTCAGAGCGAGTAGAGTCGCCAAGAGGAAGCGACACAACTTCCTTTCTTTCATCTATTAAAATATTCCTATTTTATTAAGGCATTTAAATAAAAATATAAGTATGTCATATAATCGTATGGAAACGCCCACGGACTTACGTGAAATGCAGAGTAAGTTGAATGGCTTCAAAATATTTTAGAACTTCTTCGAATGCTGATAGCCCGTATTTGTGTATATTTGCATATACATACATATGTGTGTACAAACATTGTGATAAGTATTGTGGCATTTCAAATGCTGCGAGGCATATTCATATAGAATATTAATGTGCAAAATAACCATAAATTGCTGATGGAGCATAAGCTCATAAACGTAGATGCGCATAATTGTCGGCATTTTTCTGCTGTCCCGTTTTAACCACAGGGGAAATGCAATTGCATGCGTGTATGTATGTATTTATTTGCAACTCGGCTCTTAGAATATCTGTGTGTATGTCGGTATGTATGTGTGTATCTGTATACAATATGCGTTTTTTCCCGGTACAAATGACGCATCGAATCTGTGATATGGACAACTAGTTTCGTATTCATAAATTCAACAAACCTTCTCATAAAAATAATTAAAATAACACAATTGTTTTTTGAAGGGCCCATCAATAATGGAGAACGCTATCCACCAATACCCTTACCACCGCCGCCGTCTCTGGGAACGGAGACAAAGCCAGGAATGCATATAAACCCATCGATATTTTTGGATTCTGCACCCATTATAATAAACAATTCAGCGGTGTTGGTGGTGGAGGGACAGGACGAGAGTCTGGATACGAAGAACCTAATCTTCAATGACCAAACTATAAGAAAGGGCTTCATACGTAAAGTGTACTTAATACTGTTGGTATGTAAGGCATAATATATTATTTAACAATTGTATATATATTTTATAATATTCTCTTCTTATTTTATAGACCCAGCTGCTCTTCACTTGTGGTGTTATCTGCATTTTCATGTACCATGGGCCGACCAAACTATTTGTGCGCTCCAATCCAATTGTGGTGATCGTGGCTATGGTCGTGAATCTAGTCGTTCTCATCTCGATGGCTTGCTGTGAGACGGCTCGACGACATTTTCCTGTAAACTTTATATGCCTGGGCCTGTTCACGGTGACCATGTCCCTGATGCTCGGTGGCGTAGCTAGTTTTATGGATGCGAATCTTGTGCTCATAGCTGTGAGCATAACGGCTTTGCTAGTGGCTGCCCTGTCCATATTTGCCATTCAAACTAAATACGATTTCACGGCCATGGGCGGCGTTCTGATCGCAATTGTTATAAGCCTCCTGATTCTGGCATTTGCCGGCGCATTTCTACGTCAAACTTTCGGAGAGACGGCATTTGCCTGCCTCGGCGCACTCTTCGGCAGCTTTATGCTAATCTATGACACTCAACTGATTATTGGGGGCACCCATAAGTATCAATTTAATCCAGAGGACTATATATTTGCTGCATTAACCTTATATATCGATGTGGTGCGCATATTTTTATATATCCTGCGTTTCATGGCTAGGGAGTAAGTCTCTATTGTATTCGGCAATTAGACTAAATTCAACTACTATGATCGATATTATGCAACTGAATGTATATCTATGTGAATTTATTATTAATTGTATACTAACTAATGGTTTAATGCCATAATTTAAGGGCCATCAAATGGCATTTAAATTACCAACCAAAATGTTTAAACTCAAATGTGTATATATACTTTATATGTCTGTACTGTGCACAAACGAATTTTTGCATTAAATTAAAATTTGTTTTTGTATTATGTGTATATTTTATTCACAATAAATTCAATAAAATAACTCGTCAACTATATGAGCTAAGCCCCTTAGACTTGGATGATTTGCGTTCCATTGGGAATAAGAAAGAAAGATAATGGCTACGCTTCTCCATACACAAGGCTACGAATCCTGGAAGGATTCTCAGAGCAACTGAGCAGTTTTCGGTCAGCTCCCAGTTAGGCGTGTCCCATAAGACAAGACTGTGTTGGTTTTTGTTGTACTTTTGTCCTTTATTTTAAGCTAAGGTTGTTTTTATTTATTATTTTTATTTTTTTGGCTCATTTTTCTATATTTATAGTACATTTAGTAGATGTAATTATATTTAGTTATTTGTATTGATTATGTATGCATATGGGTGTAACTATCAAATACAATCACAAAGTGTATGTATAATTCATATTTCATTTTGTTTTTATAATAGGTATTTACATAAATAATATAAAAATTATATTTTTTTAGCAGATAGCAATAGGGTTTGATATTAAATATGTATATAGATATACATACATAGGTATGTATAAATGTATAATCAAGTATAAACAGAAAAAGTAAGTAACTGAGGCATAAGCTACTGCTGCTCTGGTCATATGAATCCTATAGATTATGTTTATATATCTATATATATGATCAAAGCTATATTATGAACATTCTCTCCCTCGTATAGCTCCTTGTATAGTTCTCTAAGTAATAAACTCTATAAGCAGTATAGTGTAAGTAGTTAGAATTTGTTTTCCTCTTTTCTATCCAGCCGTCTCCTGAGTCTGTGTTTATATACAAATCAATACATATATATCTATATAGTATATATATATATCAAATGCTCAGTCCTCCGTAAATGGATGATCGGATGTATCGCTGTTATTACGTCGTCGGCTCTCCAGCAGCTTGATCGCCTGCTCCAGTGTCTCCTTATAGAACAGATTCTCTTTGGTGCCATCGCTGGACAGCGAATATTTCGTGTCGTCCAGATGCCAAGTCAGACCGAGCACTATGTTGAAAGCGGATGCATCATAGCCATGGCAGCCCGAGTAGCGATAAAGTGGCTTTTTGTTGAATTTACAGCCATTCGATTGGGCACCTAAGCGAAAATACGAACATACAAGATAAGAGAGATACAAATTAGATAAGCAATTATCAAATCAAAATAGTTACAATTATCAACTAATTTAGATACCCATGGCGAATTTATAGGCAGGTTATATTGCATATTATACAGATCTACTGCAGCTCTTTCCATCTAGTGCTGCTTAAGTCATTGATTTTAAGAGCTGCAGATCTAATATTTAGTATATCTATAACCAATATAGACAGATGAGACATTTCCATTTCCATTTACTGTGGGCATAACTCAAATACCCTAAGATCTATAGGTACAACATTTGTTTTAATATTTAAAATACATAGAAACATGACAAGTATTTTCTTTTTGGATACCTCGTCTTATATAGCCTGTCAATAGAAGGGATGTTGGCATTGGGTAAGTTATACAACATATTCATTTCTTATGCAGGGCATCTGCTAGTTGTGCAACCTAGCTTAGCTCTTCCTCTTTATAAAAATACCAAATAATTGTAGCTAGGTTAAGCCTTTTTAATTGTGCATAATTCAGTTAGAAATTGATCAAAACATAGAGAACAATGGATACGAAATCAGGTAGTAAATTCATAAATGTGTGTGCATATTTATCGAATAAATCTTCGCCAGATGTTAGCATACAGTGTGAACTCCTATATGATGAACGAAAGGGCCGTAGCTATCAATTCGATATAGCTGATCCAAAACTCAGACGTCACCTGGTGCGACATGTCTACTTCCTGCTAATGGTAATATCATAGATATTTCGTAATCCACATCATTTATATATCCATATCTTTTAGCTAGAAATCGCGTGTGGCATTCCCTGCATGGAGATCATCTTAATGCTTCCCATAAGCTGCAATGAGCTTTATGCGCGCCTCTCTAGTTTCATAACTTCTTTAATAATTTATTCTTTACTCTACAAATTTCGGATTAGGCGTCGAGCTGCTCCATATAAATATCTCTCATACCTGGTAACAGCTATATTAAGCTTTTCAAGCAGAACTATTTATCTGTTAAGTATTACGAAAACTCGTTGGGTAAGCATAGATTCCATATATCATTTTATAACTATGATTATCTATATTTATATCTATATCTATATCTATATCTATATCTATATCTATATCTATATCTATATCGATATCTATATCTATATCTATATCTATATCTATATCTATATCTATATCTATATCTATATCTATATCTATATCTATATCTATATCTATATCTATATCTATATCTATATCTATATCTATATCTATATCTATATCTATATCTATATCTATATCTATATCTATATCTATATCTATATCTTTATCTATATCTATCTACTTATAGGTCCATTTACACCCTGTAATCCTCATGATCCAGCTGTTGGTACTAGCTTTATTTACCAAACAGCAAAGAGTTCGCTTCACCCAAGGCATAGGCGTCATCATAATCCATCTGATTTTTGGGCTCTGCTTATTATTGGCCTACTTTCTAAACATCTTCTTCATATTTTTAAACGCCTACTTTTGCACTTTGGTCGCCTGGTATATCATCTATGACACGTCTCTGATGCTCTCTGAACGTCATGCGTACAACATGGAGCCGCAGGAATATTTCTTTGCTGCTACGAATTTACGTGCCGATTTGCCAGTTTTCTTGTGGATGATCGTACGACATTTTGTTCTGGGTCCCTTTATTTTACTGGTTAAGATTATCAGAAATTGTCGGTTCAAAGAAGTATGCTAAGAATTTGTAGGCGTAAATGTATGTTCCGAATATAAAATACAAATTACAAGTTCCTCTTTACAGCTAAACTATTGTACAGGGATACAATAGCTAAACTATTGGAGGCAACCCGAAGTGTAGAATTCAAATTGTGTTCTCGATTCGAGAGCGTTAAATGTGAACAGCTTCTGACTTACACAATTAAAGCTGCCCTAATTGCTTTATTCCATTAACTGAAAATTCGATTCAGATCAGGGACTGCATAGACCCCAATTATGTCAGTCCATGTGTGTGTGCATACGCACACACATATACATATGACACGTTTTGCTATCATCAACTAAATGCGCTGTAAATGATGGTCATTAGGTGAGATTGTGGGTTATGAATGCGACATTGATTGACAACTACAATATGCGGACAGCAGCAGGAAGCGAGCGAAGGAGAAGTCCTGCCTAATGACAGCACAGTTGAATCAAGGGAATGCCAATGAACGACTGCGCAATACTCGTTCGCTGGACAATAAAATGAAAACGGTTCAGCTTAAAATAATTCATTTCTAGTTGGAAACGTAAGATATAGATATAGCTGGGATATAGACATTGACAGGAAATAAAATAGGATTTAGACTGGGTATTCAGACTTACCAATTGGATCGATGCACTCCATGGTCAAAGCACATTTCAGCCAGGGCAACATAATCTTCTCCGTCACGAAGAGAGTGTCCGCAAAGAAGACCACGTCGAGGTCCACCATGCGAAGGAATATGAAATTCTCAGCGTCCGACTCGAAGTAGTCGAACATCTTTGGATGGGTGCGCGAGGAGACAGCCGTTGGGGTGTTCCAACCCAGGACGCCGGCCACCAGGGCGCGATTCTGCAGCTGCTGCAAGTCGCGATAGCTGCCACGGATCCGCATACAGTTCTCGAGAAACAAGATCGATTTGGATCGCATCAGAGCATCCTTTATCACAATTGGACGATATGCATGGGTTCGCTGATCGCTGACGAACGACGGAAACTCCGAGAGGTCATAGGTGATGACGGTGCAGCGGCTGCTGTTGCAGCAGGCGTTCAGGGAGCGCAGCTGCTCCTCGGACACGCCCAGGTCGTAGATGAGCAGCGACTCGTTCGGCAGCTTGGCTGCGATATTCTGCGCCAGCAGTATCACCGACGACACCTGCCCCTCCTGCACGTAGCTGACTATGGTGAAGTTCGACTTGGTATTGTTGTACGGCGTCGTGATCCGCTTGCGCTGGCTCTTTTGCTCCRCCTGCTGCAGCAGCAGCAGCTCCTGCTCAGCTGCCTGCCCGCGGCCCCCCATCAGCTGCTGCTGCTGGAGCTCGCGCTTCGACGTGACAGGTACGTCAGTTTGCACCTGCTTCTGCTTGCCGCTCTCTGCCGGCTGCTGTGATGCGTCATCTTTTGTGCTCAGCGGCGACGTGAAGCCCAAGAGCAGCAGATACTTTGGATCGAGCTCGAGCTTTTTGCGTTCCAGCCCAACGCGCAGATTCTCCTGGAAAAGTCATAAAACAAAAATACAAATCAGCATCAGAGTCAAAATTATTGTAGGCGAGGGCAGTCTATAAGATTGCAGAGAAAACAAACTTTATTTACTTGTGTTCATTATTTTCAATAAAACTATATTCTTGCATATACATAGGAAGGTAGAACTAACGAGAGAAGACGAAAGTAAATGCAAGAGGAGGGGAGGAAACAAAACCAGACGGAGGAAGATACAGTAAAAGACCGTAAAATAAGTGACAGGCCAGCAGAGGCCGAGAAGATCAATAATTATTCCTCACTCTTTTCGACAATACGATCATAAAATATGGGAGCTGAGCTCCTCATATCTCTTGATAGATGTAGATACAGTAAAACTCCTCTACTCTTATACTGCTGTGCTCATACTACTCTACTCTAATATCTTCTTACATACTCGTTCTTATAAATTCTTCAACTCCGATAATCTCGAGCTCTGATTGAAAATGGAAATACTTGTGTGTATAGGAATATATCCTTATCAGCATTTAATAGTTTTTATTTGTTTAAATAAATTACTATTATAGTGAAGCCCGCATTTGAATGCAGCGAAAACTATACCGAGAAAATTTTATTTTGCATTTTTTTCACAAGTTTCAATCAGCTCGAAATTGGCTTGAGGCATGCTTCGAGCTAACTAAGCCTTGACACACACACACACACATACATACACACACACAAACAACGCAGCAGAAGGTGAAACAAAATCGACGTGGCGACAGTGGGAGGCAGGGGCTCAGAGGTCAGATGGCGGATGTCAAGCTGTCATGCGACCATCCTAGAACGTGGGCTTTCATTTCCAGGCTAATTTCGCTTGTGGGCTGAGCCGCAAAATAGAAAAGAGAAAGAAATAAAGAAAAACATAGGCCAAAACTCTTTACTGGCATATGACACGCCCCTCAATAGATACTTTGCTTTGGGGAAAAACAAGTAGGAGACGGGTAAAAAGGACTAGAAGATATCCTAAACTAGCCTCACTGATTAAGGGATTAAATTGGCTGAATTATACTATATACCATGTATGATAAGTCTAGCATCTGAAATTTGATATTGATTTAATTCATCCAAAGGATCTAAATCGACTTGGCTCCAGAACCTAAACATCTCCCTGCAATATACCACATTCCCAATGTACTCCAGGGTATAACAAGGAAAAAACCACGACAGCAGTTTTTGATGTCGCCCATAGGGACTAATTTAGGCGGGCAGCACAAAGACTATGAATCGAGTTTGGTGTTATTATATTGGGACTCCTTCTATTTGCCAATGGGAGCGACCCCAAAACCACAGAGATTTCTCGCATGTGCCGCTGGGAAATATAGCTCAGCACAATGACCGCACAGAATTTCAATGAAGATTAAATAAATATCAATTCCTTGGGCTGCTCACTTGTGCAAAAGATCTTATCTCTGAGATTAAGGACAACGATGAAATCTACAGAAATCCATATCAAACTTCGAAATCTCGATATCCAAGAAGTTATTAATATGAGAGTATTAATATATATATACTTTTATATATACTTTTATAGTAATAGAAGTAGCATATGCATCATGTTTCATGAGTTTACAAATTTACGTTTTGAGCCCATAGAAAAATAATACTACTATACAAAACACAAAACCGAAAATAACAAAAATATAAATATGAAAAAAATAAACTAAATATATACACAAAACACATACACATACAAAATAAAACAATAAAAAAATAAAAAACATTACACAC